TTGGTTAGCCGCCGTCTGGTCAGCTAAAGAGCGCTGCTCACTGATGCTTTCGTTAACTATGCAAACAACTGTGGCCGGCCTTATTCAATCAAAGCTGTTTATTTTGAATTGGCACGTTCAACAGGTTCTTTATTCATGACGCATGAGTTTTGCATGTTTTACTCCTTTTGACAGAAGCCAGTTTTACTCTGCAGGTTAAATCCAATTGCTCAGGCTGGATTTAGATCATTTCGAGCATGCATGCGCGCCCACATCTGTTGTGACATTTCAGTCTGACATTCAGGTTACGAGCGGCTCAGTTTTCATCTCAGGTGTTTGAAATACAAGATTTGCACCCCGCTGAGGAAATCTTTCTCCGTCTTCCACAAGAAACAAGCCCGCTGCCATCGCTGTCTCCGTTGCTCCTCCCGGCTCCATTCAGATGCAAACCAACCCCTTTTGCCCCCTTCCACAAATACGGATATCAAACCACCTATCAATTTCTCTCCCGGCTTTCATCTGAAACATATATTCCCATTCACATACCGATCTCCTTCCCATCTGTGTTTCTTCTTATCTCGCCCTCCATCCTCCCAACACGCAACCAACTCACCTGGTGAAATATTAATGCGTGTTCAGTGAAGTGTTCTTATTTGGAGTGCTGCCCTGACCACGAGCTTTGTTTCTGGACTGAATAGGAGGTGTCGGATGTAACCGTGAGGCCCTCGTCGTCTCCACGGATGCTTTGCTCGAAGCAAAACGATTCACGAGCGCAATACTAAGCCTGACAGGGGCCACGTGGGGCTTTGGCAATGAGTCAAGTAGAGGAGCTCCCTACCCTGCAGCCGAGGCGAGATACACAGTTTTTCAGCTTACATTTTAGCCTCCTTAGCTTACGAAACATTCCAACACAAACACACACATCCAACCTCTTTCTTTTTTAGGCTCTGAAACCGCAGGTGCTGTTGTTTTCTCCGTGTCCCCTTCTTTGTAGGGGGAAATCTATTTTTTTTTTTTTGGCATAGTTCATTCGGTTGCACGCCTTCCAAGTGTTGCTGCTTTTTCTCATGGAGGCCTAAATAAGGAATGAGCTTAGAAACTGGGAGCTGCTCCCTCCTGTTCTGATTCAACGCACTCCTGACGGTTTGCTTACTCCACATTGCTCACGGATCCCTCTGGGTTCATGTTTGAGTATGCACACCATGTTGGTTTTGTACTGTAGTTGCGTGTGCTCGCACCGGTGCCTACTGCACGTGTGCCTGTTTGGTGTGTTGTGCGTGGGACCTTCGGTGCGTGTACGTACATGCACACACGCAGATTATTTGAAGACCTGAAAATCTTCCCGGGCCGGAACATCAAACAGCGCTCAGGATTTGTTTAGCAGAGGCAGAGGTTCAGTTCAAGGCTCCTAATTTGCAGATGTGTGAGGAGAGGTATGGATTTTATATTTCATAGCGGAATAATGCTGACAGTCCTTTAAGCTGTGCTTATCATGCATCCTTAGTTCAGAGTCTTTTATAAACCCATGCTTACGGATAGAGCTTTTACCTGAGAGGAGAAAAAAAAAAGATAAGAGCATTCAAACTAAAATACACACAGTGATGCATACTAGAGGTCTTTATGGGTTGAAAATGTCTCAGTGCTCGGAGAAAACATCAGTTACATTCCTAACCAAGCCTGAAAAAGACCTGTGTAAAAGAACAGAGTGGGTCCGGATTGACCTGAGCAGGAACACTGGATTTAGACAGCCTCTTTGTGTCCAGATAGTCCCTGAACACTGGAAAGAGACACGCTTCTGTGTTATAGAAAATGCCAATAGTAATACTTTCCAGTTCCAGACAGCCCGACTGCCCTTTATCTCGTCTAGACTGTGACATCCTAAAAAGTAAAAAAAATAATACGGCTAGCATTTCTCAAGAGAACATAACTGGAGTGGGTAAGGTCTGCTAAGAAATGCAAAATTTGATTTTGAATGAAAAACTAATTGTTAGCGGAAAGTTGGTCCTGACCCCGAACTATAGGTGAAAACACAGAATGTCAATAACAAACACCCAATTTATGCAGACAGCCTCAGCGGACCTCAAGATCTGAAATACATTCCCCCAAGTATGCAGACAAATATGAATACATTACACACAAATGCATTTTTTTCCAGTGTGTCACAGGGATAAACTCCGAAGCTGCCATCTTGTTCCTTAAGACATGCTGGATTAAGCTGGAGTGATGACTGGCACAGAGTTCATTGTTCTTTTTACACTGAAATACTTAAGGATACTACATGTAGGATTCTGCCATTGTTTCATTAGAAAGGATTTCAGTCTGTTTGAAGAATGGCTGGTAAACAGCATGAATAACGTAAAGTGTGAGTATGTTAAAAAGGTAAACGTAATGACTGCAGGGAAATAAACGCTCAGTCATATCCACTGTTATTGGTCCGTAATACACATCTTCAGATGATCATCTGAAAGAGGCATTGTCTAGGATTTAGACATGAATTGAAAAAAGGGTTTTGCAGAAATTGAATATAATATTATAAAGTGCACAATCACCTGACAGCTTTATAGGTTTATTTAAGTGTTTCAACCGAAGCCCAGGACTGAAGCACCAAACCCTGGCTCTACATTGAGCCTTTCTTCTTTTTGAGTTTTCCCGCTGTTCACCAAATTGCTTGGCGCAAAGGTTGCAAATCTGTATCCTCTTAACTAGATGGCACCAAATCCTGCAAATTACACCCTTTTAAGCGTCTGTTAAGACAAAAAATAAAAAAAAGATGGGCTGTATTGATGGGAGAGTGTTAAGGGTTTATCAGTTGCCTAAACACTTTGCCAAAGCACCAGCATTGGCATGCCTGGCAATGCAAGTGGCCTCATTTAAAGGAACATTATTACTCTACTTCATCATTGAAATGAATTGTTCCAAAGCATCAGATGCAGTTACGAAGGGACTGCAGTTGTAATAGGCAATAACTCCAGTGGTTTTGTTGTTTTCATTGCGGCCACTTTGGTGCTTTTCACGTTTGATTGCACACAGAAATTCTGAAAAAGTCCTTCCTCCCCCAAAAGTACTTCAGGACACGCCGCCTCTTATGTTCTGGAACATATGCCTTTACAAAAATCACCTCATCTCTCCAGAATCACATCAGGGCTCCCACATCTTCCTCCTGCGTTCACTCTAATTTGCTTCCACTTCTAACAGCCGCGAGTACAAATACAACTTCTATAATGCTTCTTATTATTGTCCTCACGTCGCCACCCTTGAAGTAATTCCATCGCACAATGTAACCGCTGTGCTCATTGTGAGCCGCGCCGGATAAGAGACGCGGCTAAACGCCTCAAATGCAAATGCAATTGTAAGAGAATCCCTTTAAAAGTTCACAGTTACGGTGAGTGCAAAAGACACAATGAAATAAGGCTGGTGAAAACAGCGGACACCACCCTGGGATGTACAGTAGATGATCATTGATACATTAATATACAATGATACATACAAATGCATTCTTTATTCAGAGACATAACATATCTGTACTTGGATATTTGGCCTTACATTGGTCTTCAAAGGATAGATTGCATTGATGGATCTTACTCTGCACAACAGTATAAGGGAGTATAAGGGCCGATATAGTTTTACATGCTAATTCCTCCAGCTGCCTTGAGGCTCTGTTTTGATTTTTTATTGTCACATTGTGGGCTCTCGGGATATTTTGACAAAAATATGCAGGATGTCAGTCCCATCCGTGGCACTAGTATTCTAAATAAGGCTCACACCTGTAACAGGCGCCTCCTCGCTATCTCTATTTGTCGCCGCCACCAGCTTCCGCCTCACCAACAACCACCACCAGCGCTGCCTTTCTGGCCCCCCCATTGAGTTCAAACAGAAAGGCCTACTTTCAAACACACTCCTAGCCTCTCCCAGGGGCATAAATACATAGGCTGCATTAATTCAGCCGTGTCTTTGCAGACTTCAGTTAAATATTTTTTTTTACCCTCTCAGGGGACTCAAGGATTTTCAGCAGAGGGTCCTTCCGTTTACTTTGTACTCCCGGGTGGGATATTTCCATTTGAATGAACGCACGCGGTTTTGGTTTAGATATCTCATCTACAGACACACGTGTGTGTGTGTGTGTGTGTGAGTGGGTATTCAAGATGTTTCTCCAAAGACACTGCATGGATTTACAGTATATGCATAGATTTGATGAATTGTTGTTTCAGCATCATTTTTGATGTGTGTGTGTGTGTGTGTGTGTGTGTGTGTGTGTGTGTGTGTGTGTGTGCGTAGTGTGCACACACACATCAGCTTTGTGTGTCACCTCCGTTCAATGAGGTTGCTGCACATCTTGATTCACGTTACGCTGAACTTTGGGCTCTCTGTAGAAAGGCGGGCACCCCCCCCCCCCCCCCCCCTCTCCCCCTCAACCTTGCCTGCAGCTCTGATGGGATGAAAAATGGATAGAAGCCCCAAAGGAAGCAGGGGGAAGGTCCATCTGTGAGCTGCATTCAAGGACAACAGTGTTATCCATTTTGGAACAGTATGAAACAAGCCAGTGTTTTCAGTGGGGTTTGGAAACGCGCGCTTCTGGATGGAACTGTGGATGCTACTGTTGTCTTGCCAAGTCAACTGCGATGTTGCAGATTAGATGCGAATCATTGACTCCTTGTTCGTATCAGTGTGGCTCTTCTCTTTCAGACTGAGAGATAATGAACGAATGTCCCTGATTGTTTTTGATCAGTGTGGTGATGAATCACCGCAGCAACAGTCGTTTTGTTTTCTCGCAGCACTCGGGCGCTCATAAAAGCTGCTTTTAATGTGATTTTACGTTCTATAGCCTGGAGGTGTCGGGGTTTGGCTGTATCTATTAATCTCTGTTTTGTTCTTGTCCCTTTCCTCTCCGTGCCTTCTGTTTACTCCTCAATCATTTCCCCCTCCACACACAAACACACAAAAACGCACGCACACACACACACACACTAACTTTCAAACCTCTCTCTCATGGTTTTCTTTCAACTTCTTTGTCTCTTTGATAGAACCGATTCCACCTGCAGATGTCAGCCCGCGTGCCTCCGTCCACCCTGGGCAGCTTGCTTCTGGCGGTCCTGCAGGGGGGAGAAGGGGACCGGGACCGTGGGAGCCGGGGCGAAAACAACTTGGCGGGAGCTGCTGTAATCTGCCCCGGGTGGGAGGAAGGGGGGGAAGGGTTGCTGTCTCACCTGCAGGCGGACAGCGGTTCTAACTGGCATTTGTGGGACATCATCAACCTGACCCTGGTCTCCGGGGGCGGGGACAGAGGAGGGGAGAGCAGGAAGGAGAAGAAGGAGGAACACAGGGAAGAGGAGGCTCTGAATATCCTCTCCGCTCGTTTCCTGCGCTCCACTGCTCCCGTCTCCTCTGTGCTCCTCCTGGGATCCGACCCCGAGTGTCTCTCCGCGGTCTTGCGGGCAGCACAGCGGCTCGCTCCATCACTACCAGCGCTGCAATGGATCATGGGATACCCCTTGTCTCCGGATTCGCTCCACACCCTGGGAGGTCCCCTCGGACTGTTAGCCTACGGGGAGGTGGGCCGCAAGCCGATCAGCTTCTACATCCGGGATTCTCTGCAGCTCATCGGCCGTGCAGTGACTGCGGCAACCATGGTGAGGCCGGACCTGGCGCTGATTCAGAACATGGTGAATTGTTACGACAAACCAAACAGACGTGAGATGCCCTCGTCAGGACAATATCTGTCCAGGTAAATGCACACATGCACGTGATACACACACGAGATCAAAACGAGAAGGGAAGAAACACAATGGTACTGTTTACCTCAAGCAGTATCTATGCAGCTTAGATTTAGATAATGGAGCTGTGAAGAGACAGCGGGACCCGCGCTCATTTGTATAATGCAGGATCTGCAAGAGCTTAATGCCCGATGAGCCAGCAGTGGCTGTTAGTGATAGCAAACTGGGCTGACAAACCTCGTGGACCTGGGAGACAAACGAGCTTCCACTCAAAGCTTGCTTGAGATTTCTACCTTCACTATAATCAAAATATAATCATATTTACGCTTATGGAGACTGTCCCCGTTGCCATGTATAGGCCACTCACCCTTTTAGTTTTCTTTGTCAGAGCATATATTTAAAATGTCTTTGTGCAGGTAAGGTTAACTAATCTGTAAAGACAAATTCACGCAAAACTATTATTAATTGCATGTCACTTTGCTAAAGGTCATTTCAAGAGCAGTTCCCTGCAGGTGGTGGAGATTCTTTCAGAAAACCTCTGCAGAGCGGACGATGGGGAAACTTATTACTCTTCAAAAAATGTAGTATATAGCCTCAGGCGAGATAGGATTAGTAGCGGTGGTGGTGAGGAGTGGGCCACAATTACCCTCTGCAACCCCTGTAACCAACGGGCCAACCGGTCATTCAAAAATGCTCAGCCGCGGTTCCAAAAGTCAACACGCTTAAATCACCAAACGATATGTGGAAGAACAACGACATACTGCAATTAAATTTCCCAGGTCACACCACTAAATGCGTGACAAGCTCGTTAGCTTTCTGACCGACACTTTGGCATTTCCGCGGGGAGTTTGCCAGGTCCCACTTGTGGTAGCGTACGCTCCGGCTGCTGCCCTTGTCTGTCCTCTGCACCGCGGGGGTGGCTCCTCCTGAATGGCGCTGTCAGACTCGAGGTGGGGGGAGAGGTCTTCGCCGCATACAGATTCGCAGACTGACACCGGGGAGTTCTGTCTGCTCCTCCTCGCTGTTGCTGCTGCTCCAATATCCCCGCAGCTTTCAAATGGGCCTCTGACAGCTTTCACGGGTTCTGTCAAGGTGCGGCGTGCGATAACGCGCGCACACACACGCAGTAAAAAAAAAAAAAAGTAAAAAGAATATCGTAAAACACTAATGTTTTCACTTAAAGCGGGAAAAAAATAATCCTCACCTTTGTGCACGGGAAAGAGAAAAAACACCTTACACGCGCATACATTACAACCCCTTTTAATGTGGCAAGGTGGTGAGTGACGCGCGGAAATCCCACGCCATAATCTCACCACGGAGTCAAGTGTCTCTGCTCTGCCGGGTGCCGTGGATATGTTATTGAAGACAGCATGTTTCCAAGTGATGTGTTCATGTGGCCCTGGTGGGAGAAGGATTTGAGGCTTCAGCGGGGCCCGCAGGAAAATATTGACACACACGGTGCCTGCCAACTGAGAGTGATCATCAGCACCACCCACACACTCACTAGACGGGTCTCACAGCTCTCCTCCTTCTGCAGTTAAGTTAAGCACTTGGATGCCAGAACAATTTGGCATTGGACGGCCAGGGGCTTAAACGAGAGGATTGGGTGTTACATTATTACAAAGCATTATTATTGAATATTGATTGCCAGAGTTGAAAAAGGTTAATTAGGTTTGATGTGATTTAAATGTCTCCTTCTTAGCCACACTTGCAGTGGATTTTAACGTATAGCACCGCTGGTCCGCACCTTTGGTTCAAACTGGAGTATATGAACTTTTAGATTGGTCGTCGCGGCGCAGGGGGTAGAGCGGGTGTGCCGGGAACTGCAAGGTTGATGGTTTGAGTCCCAGCTGCCCCATGTCTCCAGTTGAAGTGGACCTGAGCAAGACACCTAACCCCTAGTTGCTCCCCAGGCAAATATGTGAAAAAGCCTTGGGTTTAAAGTGTAATGTAAGTCGCTTTGGATAAAAGCGTCTGCTAAATGACATGAAATTTGGAGTTTTTTTGATTTCACGTTCAGGTCCCCAGAGGATGAAGCTTTTGTACTTATTTCGTACCAACATGAGGTTGACTTTTACTGTTTTTATAAAAACCAAGGCCGCGGGTTGTTTCATATTTATGTACCACACTTGATGAACAATAATATTGTTGGTAATCATTTCATTTAGAGAATGAAATGTGTCCAATGCTTTGGTTTATGACCAAATACCTCAAACCGCAAATGCACTTGATATTTCGGGCTACTTATACATATACATATGCATATACCACGCTAAACTAAGATGATAACCATGGGAAATATTTACCTGAATCTGAATGTTAACATTGTCATCATGACCATGTGACATTGCTGTCTTTACCAAAACCACTCTGATCCACCAGTACAGACTCACACCGCCGATCGTGGCTGTACAATAAAGAAATCAAAAAGTTGTGTTTTGAAACTGACAAAAACTTCATCAGGACACCAGGGAAAGTCACAATCTGTCTGCGGAGGGCAATTAGGACAGTCTAGACCACCAGAATAGACTATTTATAAAGGAGTCCTCGATAATATAGTATGAGTGACCTTTGCTTCTGACCTGTGAGAGACAGATAAAACAGGTTGTTCTATCGCACTTTTCATGCCAGTCCAGTTAGACTCCACGCCCTCGAGTGTGCTCCCTGATTCTTATCGCTCCACTGCAACAAGCACACATGCCATTGCTCCAGAGAGCCCTAACAAAGCAGAAGGAAGTAAGAGACTTCCACATGGAAAAGGCAATTAACAGCTCAATGCCCAGGGGACAGAGCGAGGAAGACGGGGAGGGAGAGGGGCTGGCTGGAGATATAAGAAAGAGAAGAAGGTGTGAGGGAGAACAAGAGCTAAAGCTGAATTTCTTACGGACTTCAAGCAGCGGACCAATGAGTAAAAGGAAATCAGTAAGGATTTGAGAAACTAGCCACTTCAGATGTTGTTTTTCCAAACGTCCGGAGTAAAAAAGAAAAATCCCGTGGTGCTTATTCCTAAAAATACGTTGGATGCGCATGTAGTCAAAGACAAACAGATGAAAGACAGAGGAAGTAACCAAAGGGAAGTAGGAATAAAGTCAAAGGAAAGGAAGAAGTAACTGTGGATGTGAGGTTCGAGGCAAAGGGAGAAAGGCAGTGAGATGTTGGATTGAAGGAGGATAGTTGTAATCACCGTGAGATCTGCCAGTCGGTGCCATCTCACCCGAAACAGCTGCCACGCTGATCCCATCTCCCATAAAGAGATTAAAACTATTGAAACAAGGACACTGCATCTCTTCCCAAACACAACGACAAAGATAGAGGGAATTAACTTCCCACCAAAGTAAAGAAGATCTTGCGATAAGGAAGTGAGACACGCGCCTGAGACTCTCTCATAGAGTCATCGTTTACCGGCCATTCTTCAGACGCTTACTTTCAGTGTGTGTAAACTGGGGCCAGGTGTTAGTGAGGGGAAAACATGCCTCTCTGACACCACTTGGCTCACTCGTCATTGCCGCCTTGACGTCGACAGACTTTTTTCTTCCTTTTGTTTTTTAAATGTAGCATCTGGCGCGAAGCCACACAACCGAGGCCACGACAAGAAGGCGGCGCTGCTCGGAAGTGTGCGTTGCTTTTCACGCCCCTGCCCTTATGTCAGCACAGTCTCATACTCCTTTCTCTGGGCTCGAGTCCAGAAGTGTCGCAAACCGCGAGAAAAGGGGCTGCGCACCTCTGTGCTGGCGTAAGAGAAGTGAAGCCTAGGTGGTTGTTTTTTTTTTTGTGGCCAGCCGCAGCCATTACATTATTGTATATGAGTCTGGAGTAGGTTGGCTTGATGAATCTGCTGTCATTGGGATATGATGATTCAGCCGCACTATTACCATTAGTAATTCCAGCTCAAGGCGAGCCTTGCACTTCCGCTTTATGGTCACAGAGACAGAGGGAGCTGCTGATGAGGAAACATAAGTTAACGTGGAACGGAATGGGAATGACTTTTGAATCACAGGCATTTGTAATCAGCTCCTTAGTTACTGTGCATGGAATGCGTTTGTGAATTGATATTGTGCTGTAAATTGTGATGTCAAGAAAGAGTAAAGATCAGAATCTGTTCATTACCCTCTTTCTTCTGTGGTGTCATGTTGTATCGTTATGTGTGGTAGCATGTTGTATTGTTATAGTGTGGTAGCATGTTGTATCGTTATGTGCGGTGGCATGTTGTATCGTTATGTGCGGTAGCATGTTGTATCGTTATGTGTGGTAGCATGTTGTATCGTTATGTGTGGTAGCATGTTGTATCGTTATGTGTGGTAGCATGTTGTATTGTTATGTGTGGTAGCATGTTGTATTGTTATGTGTGGTAGCATGTTGTATCGTTATAGTGGTGGCATGTTGTATCGTTATGTGCGGTGGCATGTTGTATCGTTATGTGTGGTAGCATGTTGTATCGTTATGTGTGGTAGCATGTTGTATCGTTATAGTGGTGGCATGTTGTATCGTTATGTGTGGTAGCATGTTGTATCGTTATGTGTGGTAGCATGTTGTATTGTTATGTGTGGTAGCATGTTGTATCGTTATGTGCGGTAGCATGTTGTATCGTTATGTGTGGTAGCATGTTGTATCGTTATAGTGGTGGCATGTTGTATCGTTATGTGTGGTAGCATGTTGTATCGTTATGTGTGGTAGCATGTTGTATCGTTATGTGCGGTAGCATGTTGTATCGTTATGTGCGGTGGCATGTTGTATCGTTATAGTGGTGGCATGTTGTATCGTTATGTGCGGTGGCATGTTGTATCGTTATGTGTGGTAGCATGTTGTATCGTTATGTGTGGTAGCATGTTGTATCGTTATGTGCGGTGGCATGTTGTATCGTTATAGTGGTGGCATGTTGTATCGTTATGTGCGGTGGCATGTTGTATCGTTATGTGTGGTAGCATGTTGTATCGTTATGTGTGGTAGCATGTTGTATCGTTATAGTGGTGGCATGTTGTATCGTTATGTGTGGTAGCATGTTGTATCGTTATGTGTGGTAGCATGTTGTATCGTTATGTGCGGTAGCATGTTGTATCGTTATGTGCGGTGGCATGTTGTATCGTTATAGTGGTGGCATGTTGTATCGTTATGTGTGGTAGCATGTTGTATCGTTATGTGTGGTAGCATGTTGTATCGTTATGTGTGGTAGCATGTTGTATTGTTATGTGTGGTAGCATGTTGTATCGTTATGTGTGGTAGCATGTTGTATCGTTATGTGCGGTGGCATGTTGTATCGTTATAGTGGTGGCATGTTGTATCGTTATGTGCGGTGGCATGTTGTATCGTTATGTGTGGTAGCATGTTGTATCGTTATGTGTGGTAGCATGTTGTATCGTTATGTGTGGTAGCATGTTGTATTGTTATGTGTGGTAGCATGTTGTATCGTTATGTGTGGTAGCATGTTGTATCGTTATGTGTGGTAGCATGTTGTATCGTTATAGTGGTGGCATGTTGTATCGTTATGTGCGGTGGCATGTTGTATCGTTATGTGTGGTAGCATGTTGTATCGTTATGTGCGGTGGCATGTTGTATCGTTATGTGTGGTAGCATGTTGTATCGTTATGTGCGGTGGCATGTTGTATTGTTATGTGTGGTAGCATGTTGTATCGTTATGTGTGGTAGCATGTTGTATCGTTATGTGTGGTAGCATGTTGTATCGTTATGTGCGGTGGCATGTTGTATAGTTATGTGTGGTAGCATGTTGTATCGTTATGTGCGGTGGCATGTTGTATAGTTATGTGTGGTAGCATGTTGTATCGTTATGTGCGGTGGCATGTTGTATCGTTATGTGTGGTAGCATGTTGTATCGTTATGTGTGGTAGCATGTTGTATCGTTATGTGCGGTGGCATGTTGTATCGTTATGTGCGGTGGCCTGTTGTATCGTTATGTGCGGTGGCATGTTGTATCGTTATGTGTGGTAGCATGTTGTATCGTTATGTGCGGTGGCATGTTGTATCGTTATGTGCGGTGGCATGTTGTATCGTTATGTGTGGTAGCATGTTGTATCGTTATGTGCGGTGGCATGTTGTATCGTTATGTGCGGTGGCATGTTGTATAGTTATGTCCAGCCCAGGCGTAGAGGTGAGGTTAATGACCCTGGTGATTAATTAAGGAGTTTTCATGTTCCTACCCATATCCAGTTTAATGGAAAAAGTTGCCCAGCTCATCAATTTGACATACAACTTGGAAGATTAGAGGAGGAGGAGAATAATAAAAGAGAGAATAAGACAAAGTGCAAAAGCAAGAAGCTATTTTTGGTCTCAAAAGGCTACGGATTTCCCCACCTTTTCCATTAACAGGAAGGAAAACATGCCATTTCTATCCTTGACCCAGACATAATCAACAGTCCTTGCACGGTTCAACATTTGGGCCGGATGAAGTGATCCCTGCATACTTTAACATTTAAACATACGATACGCTGTGACCTTTTGACAATCCCTCGCCAATCAGGACACAATCAAACAGTACTTGAATGGTTTCCCAGTGAGACATCACCTGACGATGTCCACATGATCAAATGCTAAGACATGAGCTAACAATCCCTCGATGGTTGTAGAGGACAGGGGGGGATTTTATGTGCGAACGGGGATGGCTCTTCTTAATTCATTCCGCCGTGAAGACCAACGTGGAGCTGCCGGGCGAGTGAGACGAATAGCAATGACTGTATGGACTGGCAGATGAGGGAGACCCTCACTGCACTGCATTAACTTTTAATTATGACTTTGTGGGAGATGCAATTACCCATCTGGGACTAAAATTGCTAAAGCTCTGCAACCAGACCATGACCGTCTGGACCATTATTGGTAACTTTTTTCGGGATTTTCCACAGTTTTTTTTTGCAATACTGCAGGCTATATTTCCAAACTGCAATAAACCGGCAGGGATCTTTGTTGCGTCTCATTTAAGCCTCTTTACTACTTGATAAAAACTCCACAATCATCCACTAATGTGGGTTCTTTCTTCAGTGGGAAAGGTTACAATTGTCATTCATGCCCAGGACATTTAACTACTACTATCTTCTCCAGCTCCAATCAGGTGTGATGGAAACATGAGAGCAGAAAAGACCTGCTAATTTTAATCAATTTTTCCAATGCGACAATACGTGACATGCATTTGGACACAAGTAAATTAGTAAACATTTAAAACACATTTTATTCAAACTCGATATAAACAGAATGAAACCCCTGTTTTTTTCATTTGTTAGTCTTTTTACGGTTCCAACAATCACCAATTCTTAAAGTTAAAAAAAGTGTGTGATAAACATGAAAAAAGATAAACTTGGCAATGGGTCAACAATTATTGTCCCTTCGTCTTTCTCTGTTCTTCAAGGTTTCTGTCCAACACTTCCTTCACCGGGGCCACAGGCCTGATCCAGGTGGATGCTGGCTTGTCTCGTGTCCTCTCCTCCCAGCTGTTCCACGTATGGAGCCTGAAGAGAGGCGCTCTTGGCCAGCCAGCCTGGGTGACTGTGGGCCAGTGGACCCGAGGCCGGCTGGAGCTAGAAGGAGGGATCATGGGATTGGTGGGAGGGTTCAGGAGCAGCCAAGGACAAGGCCTCGGAGCCGGGGTGAGGGGAGGGGACGGACTGGGGGACAGTAATGTTGGAGGACGCTGGAGGCCGGGAGAATCTGTTGAGGGACACCGGTTGAGGGTGGTGACACTGGTGGAGCACCCGTTCGTCTTCACGCGGGAGGTGGATGTGGATGGATTGTGTCCAGCTGGTCAGCTCTGTCTGGACCCCAGAACCAACCGGTCTGACTTGATCCAGAGCCTCTTCAACCAGCTGCACAACCCAAACACTACAGTTGCAGACTGGGAGAGGAATGGTGAGTTATGAGTAATGCCTGTCAAAAAAATGTTTGTGGGAAGCATCCTTTCTGAAAACTCCCATAGGTTTCTCTTATGTAGACCATCAGATCTCTTTGCTTAGATTTCATTGCTGTATTACTGGCAGTTTCTCTACTGTTCCTCCTCAAGACTGAAGTAAAATCAATGAGGGATCGCGACTGGTCAGTCCAGTTCAAAAACATACCAGATGCAATATTGAGGGCTAATCTCTGCAGCTTTGCTACATATCTGCTTCATGAATAAAGTGGATTAAAGGCATAAAATCAATGAAAGATCAAGACTACCGTGTTGAAGAAATGCCCGGTGCTATAAATCAAACTAAGGAGAATATTGGCCAACCAAACATGCAGCTGACAGTATTGCAGTAATATATGAAGCATTCAATCTTTGGCTTGACGGCATTTTTGCAAAGGGCTAGAAAAATGTAATAGAACAAAGTTCAAAAGTCATACAATAGCCTGTCCACCTTGTTAAGTCAAAGGGTTGTTATTTCCGTAGCCCATCTTTAGACTGACTAAGAATAGAAGTCGTGGCTTGGTAATTAAAAACTGAAGCATGCGTGTCCTGCGAGGATCCATGAGCATTTTCCATGTTAGTCAACAGCTGCAGACATTTTCCCAGATGTGCAGCCACTGCACTTCTCAAGTATTCATATAGATTAATTTCACATTATCCTCACTGCTTTTCTGTCAGACCTACCGGGGGACCTGAGGAAGTGCTGCTACGGGTACTGCATCGACTTGTTGGAGAAACTGGCAGAGGACATGGGTTTCACCTTTGACCTTTATATTGTCGGAGACGGGAAGTATGGAGCATCGAGCGGGACGGGACGCTGGACGGGGCTGGTCGGGGACCTGCTGGGTGGGACCGCCGACATGGCTGTGACCTCCTTCTCCATCAACTCTGCCAGGAGCAGAGTCATTGACTTCACCTCGCCCTTCTACTCCACCAGTCTTGGCATTCTGGTACAATTGCTTGAAGTCATCATTAGTCTGTTTTGTCAGGTTTTAGTCCGTCTTTTAATGTCGAAATAGTTACTTTGATAATACTGCATTGTGAATCAATGGCAGAATATTCAGTTTTTTCCGTCAGTCTCTTTCTCTGGCTGACAGTGTGTCTGTATGATTTCACAATATGGTCGGCAACAACTTAATTTCAGCCTAATGCCCCACTCAACGGGTCTTAAGTCGTGAACAATTAGTTAGCTGAACGATGAAAGTTCAAAATGGAAGGCAGTCTAAGTGTATAATGAGCGTGAAAGGCTTTTCGAGAAGCCGTCTCAGCCGAGTCCTCAAACATGCTGCAGTTATTCGTGGAATTGATAACATCTCCACTGAGGCTGAAAAACTGCAGTGCATAATATCTGATCTGACAATACGGCTCCAATATGAAAGACTGATTTCTTTCCCTTTTAAAAAATGATTGATGGCACAAAAAAAAAAAATCAATGTTTTCTTTTTTTCTTTTAAACAATTATGCCTTGGAGAACTTTACAGACGAAACCCCACAAACTGTGAGATTAATTAGAACACATTTGCAACGAGAAAGCAATCTTCTTTTTGGTGTTTTTTGACCCACCAGGTCCGCAGCCGGGACACCGCAGCCCCCATCGGGGCCTTCATGTGGCCCCTCCACTGGTCCATGTGGGTGGGTATCTTTGTCACGCTGCACCTCACCGCGCTCTTCCTCACCTTGTACGAGTGGAACAGCCCCTTCGGCATGACACCCCACGGCAGGAACAGGCTGCGCGTCTTCTCCTACTCCTCCGCCCTCAATCTCTGCTACGCCATACTGTTTGGACGCACTGTCGCCACCAAGGTAAAGCAGCTCTCCCCTGTGTGATGAATGGGCACCATGCTGGCTGGGGAATTGCAGAGAAAGGGCCGGGGCGGGGAAGCATGATAATAAGGAGTAAACAACCAGTAAGGGTGTGTTGAAAAAAGGAATTTAGCAGTGGAAAAGGCAGTGGGGAAAGATCATAGAAAATGGCCAGAGAGGGCAAACGGTTCATATGGGAGAGGTTGAGGCGATGGGCAGTGATGAAGTAGAGAGGTGTGGGGGAGATAATGCACCCACAGGGAGGGAGAGGGGAGAGGGTAAATGGGCCGACAGAGATTGAAGGAGTTACGGGGAGGATGATGGGGATGGATAAAGGCGAAAAAAGCTGGAGAGAGTAAAGGTTAACTCCTCCAAGTAGGCAGACACAAAGTTGAAAAGGAATGCGGGGGGCAGTGGGGGTTGGGAAGGCGAGAGTGCAAATTGGGAAACGGGCTCCAAAGAGAAGGCTGACAGAAAGGCCGTGATACAGGGGTATTAGCCGTAAGCAGGCGAGCAGCGAAGAGGATCAGAATGAAGGTGACGTGGAGGTGGGCGGCCTGAGGATCACGTATCGGGGAGCGGGCAGGTGGGTGGGTAAAGTCGGTAAAAGGGCGGGGTTAGTATGAGAGCAGAATATGTGGGACAAGTAATCAGCAAATCTGGTCCTGTTAAAAAATAATGTGCAGCCAGATGAAAAGCAATGCATTGCCCTTCAAAGATAACAAAAAAATCCTTGTATTTCCAAGCATTTGTTTGGTATATATGAAAAGATTAAATCCGCCTTTGCCGTAAACGCATTCTGCAGATTTGACTGATGGTGTCACACACGCACAGTCACCCCTGACGCACACACGCAACCACCAGCCGCAAAGAAAAAAAGACTCCTGTGTATTGTTCTTAAAACGGCTCGATACCGAGCTGCAATCCTTCATCATTATCATTCACGCATGCGCTTCAAATTTGAAGCACGTTCTGAGAAAATTTTAAAACTTAATTTGCCTGAATTATTCCAGTAACTCTTCTTAGTGAGTATGCGCGCCATCGCAACACTTTGTTAATCACTCTTTGTCCCTAAAGGAAGCAGCGCAAATGACTCCGGGGAATAAGAAGCCAAGTGATTAGAGAGACCTTCCCATAATTGAAAGGTCACTGGTTTGATCCTCACAACTGGCAATGTGTCAATTAACAGGTTTTGTCTATTAGCAGCCGCGTGACCCGTCAAAATGTCCTTGAGCAACACTCTGAATCTCTCTGTGACGGGTCGGAGCCACAGCGTCACGTTGAAGTAGGTTGAGTGAGGGGACAGTACGTTCTGCCAGCTGTGCGGACGATGGTTCTTGATGAAGCAGAGTGTGACGTAGCCGCTGTCCGGCTCTGTATTTGAAATGGTTTAATACTTCAGATGAGCCATACAATACTCAAAATACGTTCAAAAGTTAGTCCCTCAGACTGTTTCCTTTAGTTAAGTTATTTTAAGTTAAAACATACTATGTGAAGAGTAAGGTAACTGTTTTTGCGTTTTAATTCAATCTGACATTAATCCTGTTTTTGTATCACACATGCTTCTAAATATTTAGCCGTCAAGGGTATAATTAAGACCTTATTTTAAAACGGCTTTCCTGGTAACATTAATCTGGAGACAGTGTCGTCAATCATCTCATGAGGCTAACTTGTGACAGGTGTCATTTCACCTTGCTAAATTGACAAGAAAGGCCAGAGACGAGAAACGTGTTTTTGTCTACCCTGATTATTATATAATTAACTCAGCACCAGTGCAAAAAAAATATTTAAAAGGACTTTCGGTCATTTTTCAAACGCCGTGTTTGTTTGACTCGAGTGACGCCTTTTTCTCTTTTTAATTCCATAACTAATTATGCAAAGAGTTGTGAAAACATTGAAACCCTTTCGTAATAACGGGTTACAACCAGTTTGTATAATTGATGTCTCATTAATCCCAATCATTCTAAAACGCCAGAAATGCATCTCTTTTCTTCTGTTAAGTGGATTTTAATTGGTGGAATAAATAAATGATCATAGTGTGAAGGTGGAATCATTCCCCTAGGCGGGCAATTTCAGGGAAAGATATTTCTGATGTGCCTCAAAAACAGAAACACTTGGCTTCTCTGCTGGTCTCTTTTATTTTCTTGATTTTCTTACTCGGGTTGTTACATTGTGATGCTAAAGGAAGATGAAAACAAGAGAAAGGGTGGTTGACACCCTCTGGAAAGGGGGGAGTGATGGAGGGAGGGAATGGGAGTGGGTGCTCTCCATTTATGTCCACACTTGACACCACCTTTCCGAATTGTTTAAACCCCGGCAGCATCCTTGACGTTTTCTGATTATTTTTCATCTTGGCATTTTTCCATTTCGAATCCAAATATTTTAAGATTAACTCAATCATCAAAAGCTGACTTTTTCTTCTATTTTTTGATCCATGTACATTTTTCGAAAAGACAAAAAAAAAAGTTCTCTCCACGCATACGTCTCCCCTGTGCAGACTCCTAAATGCTGGACCGGCCGTTTCCTGATGAACCTCTGGGCCATCTTCTGCTTACTGGTGCTGTCGAGCTACACCGCCAACCTGGCTGCTGTGATGGTCGGGGAGAAGACCTTCGAGCAGGTCTCGGGAATTCACGACGACAAGGTTAGGCTACGCGCAAAGGTCACAAAACTTGCAACTGCACGCACATCAGTCCACAAACACAAACACACACACACACACACACAAACACAGCCACATGTATACACAAACTAATCTTACACAAGGACAGGCTAATGAGTATAGAGTGGAATTATAATCTAAGGATTATTGCTCCCCGCGTCCCTTAATGCTGTCGGACTGCAGGGAATTTCAACCCCATCATGATAGCTATAACCCCACCCCCACTCCCCCCTCCCCACCCTCCGCCCCCTTTATCGCCTCCGTCTCTTCTAACCGTGTCTTCCTGTGTCATTTCCTCAGCTGCACCATTCATCACTGGGCTTCCGTTTTGGGACGGTGAGGGAGAGCAGCGCTGAGGATTACATGAAGAAGAGCTTCCCGGAGATGTACGACTACATGAGGCGCTTCAATCAGCCCACCACTCCAGAAGGAGTACACATGTTGAAGTAAGACACAAAACGCATACACATGCACGTGATGAGTATTGGTGCGAAAAATAAATACCGCCGATGAACTTCATTGCAATTCAACCCCCGGCTCAAATAATCCAGTCACGTTTACGTCCCTTATCTGTGGTTGTCTGTATTCCGTGCACTTAATTTACACGCTCACTGTGCATAACAATAATGTCTACAGGCAACAAGAGCAAACGTGGCCGATGTAAAGCCATTCAAGGCTGTTTTCAATAGAGAACTAACTGTGAGCGTCCTTTGAAATGGAATTCACTAAAGCTGTTTGTCTGCGATCCTGTAGAAAATAGTTACTACAGTTCATAGTTTAAATTGGAGATAATCTGGAGTTCATCCATACACTAACTGGATCCATAGACTATTTACTAATCCTCTCCTTTCACCTTTCCATTAAACTTCCACTACAAAGACTACAAATCAAAAGTCAGGTTACCGTTTCTAAAATGTGTCATCCTGCAAAATATTCAATTCAGATTTTTGATGCCCTGGTTTCCATTTCAGAGAGGCTGATTTCAATGTTCTGTCAGCAACGCAATAGCTCAGTGTAGGTCAAAGTCATTTGTGATTCAGGGTTGTTGTTTTTTTCTTTCATTTGACACTTTGATGTGTCGAGCCATTCAGTCGGTGCTTTTTTTGTTTTAGTTAAAACAATGTTTGCTTTTGTATCTGACAGAGATACCGTCACATTCTCACCACTTTGTGTGCTGCATATTTTCGCTCTGTGCTTCATTACGAGCTACAAGCCATCCAGAAACACTACATTTTAGCACGAGGTGTGAAGAGTCTAAGAAACATATTTAAAAAGGCCTTCCACATTTGAGAGAATCATTTTTTGTTCGCTAAAAGTGTTAAATATCGAGATGAATTCGGGGCCAGGGACAAAGTGATGAAACGAGGGCTGAGGATGAATGAATGAATCAGGTCTCCAATGAGGACCGTGAAAAGATGAATGCAGGAAGGCAAGGCCAGTTCATTTATAAAAACACATTTAATCCACAAAAGTCAAGTACTTTCCATAATCCATTAAAACATGAGTACAAAACGCACATTTAAGGGGTAGAAATTATTGTAAAAAAAATTGAATTCAAAAGCACGGAAATAAATATCAAGTACTTCAGAGAGCAATTATGTTTCAGAGAGAAAATATATGTTTGAACCTACTTTTAAAGGTTAGTTCAAGTTGGAGCAACTCTTATGTATCTTGGATGTTTGCGCCAACTCGTATTGGAGCTCTATATAATCTTTAACCGCTTTGTTTTTATCTTCTTACTGTGGGGATGAATAGCAGCCTGCTACCAGATGACCTGAGAGCCTAAGAATGTTTATGTTCACGTCACGAACATGGAAAGCGGTTAACTAGTTATTTTAGTACATCTACATATACACTGTATCACTGTTGTGTGTTTTATGTCATCCTAGTTATGCTTGTAATCAACATACAACCTGTTTGTTCAGTTCCCTGTATAATTGACAATAACTTCATTCAGGTTTCTGAATGTATGTGAAGATGTAAACTCGTTACATCGAAGAGGATGAAACCACTTTGGTGTTCTTCTCTATCTAAACTGGTTATCATTACTATTATTAGTGTTTAACGTTTATTTTTGTGGAATTGATCAAAACTGGCCCAACGCAGCAATTAAATACACAATAACCTTTGAATGATCAGGCAAGCATGAGATAAAAGAATAATAAACTTTAAAACAAGTGATGATCAAAATTCTAACAATGTAACTCAATAAAGGGGAACTTTTAGTTTTCTCATTTTTAATGTATGACTCATATTCAAAGGGGATTTAAGGAGGATAACGATGTAGCGAGCTGGGAGCTCTTTATGTAGGTTGCTCTGCCACCAAAGACCCTTTACAGCAAAGCCTTGTTTCTCTTTCATTTTTAAGCTTGAGGTGGGGACAGTGAACACATTCCTCCCCGAGGCTCTCAGCTGCTCACTGGCTGGTAAGGTGAAAGATATTCAGATATATTCCGGGGCCAGGACATGAAATGCATTAATACTATTAGGAACAATTTTGGAACTAATGGGCGCCCAGAGTGAGGTCATTAAAACTGGAGGGATGCGCTGCCTTTTTTCCGTTGCTTTCGGAGTTGAACTGTAGCATTTAATTAATTATTTCGTACCTGTTTAAAGACCAGTGAGAAAATAAAATAATGATTAATAGTTTGAGTGTTATTCAAACTCAGCAATACTCCTTGGATGCTATTAGCATAAGTAGATAACCTCAATAGTTTAATCAAAAGTGTATTTATTTTGAAGGAGCACAACCAGGTTCCCGACATTTTGTTAAACACAAAAGGAGGACTATGTATTTGAAGGCAGATTGGAAGGACCAATGGTAAGGATCTTATTGTATGAGTTGAATTTAAAAAAAGGCAGGTTCGTATTCTCGGTAGTCTTTACTGGGAGATACAGCTGTGTCATCAGCATTGCAGTGGACTTACATTTTACGTCTACGTACAATCTGGCCAGGTTGCTGCATTCTGATGGATTGAGGTCAGATTTCTTTATGAGTGGTTGCACACAGGCACTATTCAAACATTCTGGGATGCAGCCAATGGCTAAAGAACTGAATTATTGAGAGCAAACAAGAAGCTATCTATTTACTTCACAGACAAATTTGACAGCCACCGGGAACATTTAAGGTGCGTCACAGTGATCGCGAGTTAATTCCAAGGTGGAGCAGGGAGAATAAATACAAGAATCACTTTTTTATATTGCTTACCCAAGTACCGCACAAAGCAAACACACTCACGGCAATAACAACGGGCTATTCTCAGACGCGGTGCCTCCTCCATAGAGCACCAGCAGAGATGCTGAGATAGTGCATGTGCTGACTCTGTGATACAAGTAGGAAGATACAAAGTGCTTGTTCAGAGAAAGAGGACGGGAACAAGAAAAATGAAGGCTGCAGTTTTTTTGCGTTGAGGTGAAGCAGAAGTGGAAGTCAGATCAGTGCAAATGCTGCGATGGCAAAATTACTGACCCCAATGATGCCCTCAAATCTTATGGTGAAAAAAAAAAACACCCGAGAAGCCTTCTCCTGGAGAGACAGAAAGCCTCGGACGACACATGGCAAGCTGTCAAAGAACCCAAATGTTTAGGCTCAGGAGGAAGCGATGCACAAGCCTGCGTACAGCTTCATTCCTATGCACGTGCATGCTCACACACTGCAGTCCGATCCTTAGGCCCAGCATCGGACGGCTTCCTTTAGTCCTGAAGCGTCCCAAAAGGATTTTATTCTTTTTCTTCTCCCTGTGCCTTATATTTAACAGGCCTGGAGAGAGAGAGAAATAGATGTTTCTGTTACTCTGGCACAGCACAGACTTTGTAGAATAAACCTTTTGTTGAGCAGTGGACATCCTCAATAACAGAAGCTTTCAGGTAATTTGATCAGTTTGCTGTATTTGAACCAATAGACATTGTGTGTGTGTGTGTGTGTGTGTGTGTGTGTGTGTGTGTGTGTGTGTGTGTGTGTGTGTGTGTGTGTGTGTGTGTGTGTGTGTGTCTAATGCTCTTTCTAATACACATATTTATGCTCTTTTGTCTGTCCCCCATAACACTTTTTGTATCCACACTAATATGTTTTTTGTTTGTGTATCATTCGGGGGGGAAAGTGTACTTTTTAATGTGCAGGATCATATCTGTGTGTTGGTCCAGTATTGAAACGCAGTGTCTTGTGCTGTGAAAGTGATCTCCCGTCAGCGGAGGAGGTCCATCAACGGTCCATAGTTAGGGGTCAATTGGATCGATACTGCCGGAGGAGGAGAGTCTCCGGCAGTGTGCATAACGCCTTATCAAGCGGCCACAGAGGCTGTTGTTTTAGGTGATGATGTATGTGTTTACACAGAGTATTAGAATGCAGTTAATCTCATTCTCCTGTATAAATGACAAAACGGGTTGACAGACCCAAATATAGATTGTCTCTTGCCCGATTGGTTCTGGGCAGTGTAATTACATTATGAAAGTTAATCTGATTAAAAGGTCTACAAAAGTGAAATGGTGGTTCTCTTCCATGAATGTGTTTCTCTCCTTCCTGTGTGCTGTGTTTGTGTGTTGGTGGTGAAGGACAGATCCTCCCGACCTGGATGCGTTCATCATGGACAAAGCCCTGTTGGACTTCGAGGTCTCTATCGACGCCGAGTGCAAACTGCTGACTGTGGGGAAGCCTTTCGCCATTGAAGGTGCACATGCAGGCGCAAAAACACACACACGACACACTGGCTAACACTACTTGTGAAACATCCACCTAATTAAAGCTGTTTCTTCTTAAATCTATTGACCTCGTGGGGACCTTTTGTCCTAAGACGGCACGCTCGCTCGTGCTGTTGCCGTGTGTGATTGGCAGCGCATTCGAGCCCAGCTCCTCCCTCGTGAGTTCCTTTCTGCTCCAAGGCATCACGCGACTCCCTCCCGTCTCCATCTGATGGTCGGATCTGAAATCCCGCACTGACCCGACCGATCCCTGTTCCCTTAACACTGCAGTACATTCAATGATCACACCTTTGGCTTTAAGCTTCGTCATGTCAACATAACATAACATGCATAATAACATCACATTTTAGCCACTGTGTTTAACTCAGTTCTATATGGTCCAAAATCAGAATGTTTGCCTGGCAGGGCTGTCGTACATCCTTTGCTCATTCACTACCTGACAGGAGAAAAAACTCCCGGTAAACCCTCTTTGGGGAGAAAATAGGGAGAAATCCATAAAGGACGGCGAATAGCATCCGTCCCCAGGTCTTAATGTTACATTGTGGCAGGATGTTAATGTGTACAGTAATTATATAACTTACATGACTACAAATTGTGTTTGATTCATTCCGAAATTATCTAAAATGCTAATGTAATAACTAATATCTAATAACACACAATCTAGAATTCTAACAGTAAACATTACTACATGTATTGTACTTTCTTCCACTAGGTGTGCTCTTCTGCTTAAATCCTTAACAGGACACACTCACAGATATACATTGACATGCAATGTTTCATGCAACGTACACACATTAAAGCATGGACATCTACATCATAAAACACGCGTTAACACATAAAAAGAAGCAAACAGTACGCACATACTTGCGTACACACATGTAGAAAGGGAATCGAATACTGTTAGCTACATGATTGACAGAATGAATCATCAATTATTAACAACATGGCCCTGTCAGGGAACTTTGGAATTACTGCTTGCAGGTCAAATTTAATACAGTATATTCATGAAGCCTATTCACAGATCCACTGCCAGTCAAATAATGTATAACGATCCACTTAGGGAGCCTCCTGGTTTTTGATTAGTTACGAATGAGCCAGCGGATCTTAGTGTACAATCCCAGTCAAAGGTTGGGGCACATTTTCTCATTCAATTCAATGAGAAAGTTTCCCCAAACTCTTGATTGGTGCCGTCTGTGTGTGCGAGCACTGACGGCTGCATCCTGTGTTGCTCTGCTGTTCTTGAAGGAAATTGTTTTCCTTTTTAGACTTTCAGTGGGTAGACATTTCTTTGAAGTAAAGTCATTGCTTCTACTTCTTTTATTGTCCGTAAAAAAAAAAACACACCATATGAAGAGTGCCAGGGGAGGGAAAAATAAAAGCCACAAAATAGAGACAAGATCCCAAAAAATATTATATGGATGGATGGATGGATGTTTTCATGGGAACAAAGTTGAATTTTCCACTGTTTGTCTTCCTTCTTCTCCTCTAAAAGTCTTACATTATTAATGACGTTGAAAGTTCTAAAATATTACTGAAACATATTTGGTGCGTGGCGTGGAACATGCTGACCCACATGTGCCGTCTTTCGATACAATTTCCCGAACTGAATTGACATGAAAGTCAACAAACATAAACTAAACTAAACTTCACATAACTGCAGCATCGCTTTGTTAGTCAGTCAACGAGGCCTCATTTCATTACATTTTGGGGTATGGATTCAAAATATATTCAGAAGCCAATGATAAATTGCCAGTAATAAATTGCTTTTTGCTCTAGAAATGAAATGCTTTGCACAACCATTATAGACATATGCATCATTATGACTCGTAGCAGCAGTAATTACAGCAGCAATAGTAGTAGTGAGAGAGTTTGTTTTGTCTGTGCTATGAGCTGAATACATATGAGCAGTGGGCTTTTGTTTTTGCACAACAAGATTAAATTGTAACACTTAGAAAAAAAGGCTACTGACGACATGGCACAAGAACTTATGTCTCCCCTGCGCTAAGAGTCCGGGGCTCCCATCCGCGGAGGACACAAAGGTTCCAGCTGTTTTTGTAGGTTTCATTGTATTCTCGTCACATGTCATCTACGTCTTTTGAAGGTGACTTTGAAGATAAATTTCCCGCTGGCCGAACACATTTATTGAAGGTGGCAAGCATTTAACCTCTAACCCAAACGTCCAGCCCCGTGACTGCAAGGTTGTGCAAGTATAGAATTAGTGTGTGCACCCATGCCTGGCGCTGACCAGCGTTCAATTCCAACCACATTACGCGTGTGTCGTCGTGCGCACGTTCCTGTGTTTATGTTTCAGTGCAGCCTTTTTCTTTTCTGCCGCCAAGTCTGCGACAGATACGGAGACAGTAGGTAGGTACTAGCGAGGGCGCCACGTGGGACCGAACACTGACTTTGATTCCATTTTCTCTGTCAATCAAAGCGTAGCCTCGGAAAGACCCCGCTCCCGTATTCCCTCCGCGCTGTAGTACTCGCTGAAGATCACGTACTGCTTCCCTCACTGCAAAAGACGAAACGGGCCCAGAGACGTCGCTGCGGCATTACTCGGGATTGCGAGGATGAGAAAGCTGGTCTCATTTGTATTTATAGCGGGTCAGTTTTGATGACTACCTGATTCATTGTCAACATTAAAAAAAAAAGGCAGGCGAGGAATTCAAGATGCCTTTGGTGGCTACTTCCCTCCCTCCCTCACAGCCTGTGTGCAACAAGAATGAGATGGGAGTGAATAACTCAATACGTTTGAATGGTAAGAGGGAAGAAAGAGCAGCAAAGAGCCAAGACAGGAAATGTGTGAAAGGAAAAACACAAGAGGAGGAGATGGGCAGGAGATGGGAAAAAAAACAAGACACAACAAAGGTAAAGAAAGGGAGGGCCAGTGAGAGCGAGGTGGGAGTAGAGCACCGGGAGGAGATAGAGGGCTTTCATTTGCCCACTGCCAGTTTGCGCCTTTCTGCACCGCGAGTGATAAAAGAGCCAGCCAACAGAGTCCCCTAATCAAGACAAACCTTCACCCCAAGCAGATGGAGAGAGAGAGAAGGAGAGAGAGAGGGAGGGAGGGAGGGAAAAAAAGAGAGGTAGTGTTATTTGGTACATGTGAGGATGGAGGCAGGATTTACGGGGTGGTTTGTGGTCAGGAGATACAGGCAGACGCAGGCCCGAGGGGCTGTGGAGCCGCTGCAGGCGAGGTGCCGCCGCTGGATTCTTCGGGCTACTTAAGTGCAGGGAGACGCGGTGGTGTCGCCGTGCGACGGTTTTCACTGAGTGCTGTTGGGAGACGTTTACGACAGGCCGGACACACCCCATTAATAATATTGCCACCCAACACGCAGCCGCTCGCTGCTCGCTTTTTGTGTGCGCGTGTGTCTGTTTGTGTGTACCTGAGTGCATAAGTGATCTCCACAAGCTCGGTCGAGCAGGACGCAGCGTGTCTGAGTATCAAAATGAGGCTGGAGTGTGTTTGCTGGGGTGAAGGCTGTTGTTGGTCGGGCAGCTTGTGTGTGTATGTTTGTGTGTGAATGCCTCACGGAATTCACTTTGAAAAATGTATTGATCGGCAACCATTTACAAACATGCCAAAGTGTCCTCCAGTCTTCCTAACAGCGGCTGTGGTTATTAGTAAAATGCATATGTTTTTGTATGAGCTGATGCTGGACATTATACCAAATGTATAGGATGACAGATATAAGGAATTTAACTGAATCTACAATTCTTAATAAATACCTGATAATATCATCAGACAGCCCTCAACTGCATTCAGTGTATAGCACTTTTTATCACATATCGAATAATTTTAGTTTAGCAGGAAAACTTTCCCACGCACCCTCATAAGAGCAGGTCAAAAAGCAGTATTATAAATATATTAGCATCATAACTTTTGATCTGTACTTCAAAATAAAATAGTGACATTTTTAGAGCCCTTAAAAGGTGTTTTGAATAGAACTCAATGTGCACAGGTGTGTGTGAGCAAGAACGTAGGTGTGCGGGGGGATTTGAGCGACAGCATTGGGACTTGTGATGGATGCATGCCGATGTCTGGGGGGGGGGGGGGGGGGATCAAAACAAAGGATACTTGCATTTCACCGATCGACGGAGCGCTCCAAAGAAATGTGATGACAAAAAAATGTCTGTTTTGGAGGGGAAAAAAAGACAAAGAAGACATACAGAGACAAAGCAATAGACTCAACAGACAAGAATGGAGTGAGGCAGAAATTGAACAAGATTGAAGGGGATGACAGAGATAATGAGTGGTCAAACAGAGCAAGAGAGTACCCGCAATGGTGGGAGAGAAACGACCTCGGTCGGGAACACAGGAGGGATGAGAGGAAGAAGATGAGCAGCGGAGGCAGAGAGGGGGAGAGCAGAGGTGGGGGAAGCCTGGACGGTCTTTGTCATGTAGGAAGTAGAGTGTGACAATTGCTTGAACCTTAGCTATTCTCTGTTTCTGTCCACAACCCCCATCAGCCTCACACACCTTGACAGCCAATACACACACATACACTCTGTCAGAAACAGCTGCCAAGTCTGCGAAAATCATGCGCGCACACACACACACACACACACACCAAAGGGCTGTTGGCATGACTGTGCCTTTCACTGCAGTACAGATGGAATGAAACAAACAACCTCAGGAGGTCTGCTGTATTGCAATAAATCTCCAAGAGGGTCTTTTTGTCCTGAGCTCAGGGAGATGTTTCTATCGTTGGGCACCTGCAGGAATGTGGACTTATGAAAGCAAAACTGGCATTTAGGCAATACTTCTCATAAGCGGCCAAGTTGCAATAACACATCGGGGTACCACTTCTGAAATAAAAGCAATGAGCAGTGGTGGGCAAAGTGCTTAAATATTTGGCTTTATGAAAAATCTTGCAGTTATATCCTTAGTGTACTTATTTTTGCTATACTGCATATAGCTATTGATCCACACGCTGCCCGTATTTCATGGGGAATAAGGACGTCCCAGGTAATACCAATCAAGGGATGCTGAAGCCATTTCTTCAAACTAAGCACTGATTCATATTTAATGTCCTATAACAATGATTTGCATTAGTGACTGCATAATTAAGATGTCTTTGAAGCCATTAAATCCATATCTGGGACAACGGCAGGTTTGAAGTAATTGCACATAATATGTTGTCATGTAAACAAAGTAATCAATAACTACAGCTGCCAATTACATGGATGAATGGAATATGGTATTTGAAGGAGCACTTGAAGGTCTTAACCATGCCTGTTATGAACATAGATTTAAACTAAACAACTATTATTAATATGTTGTATTGGAGAAACGAGAAAGATTCAAAACGGAGGAACAAAAAACATGGTTATTAAAGTCTCCCCTGTAAACGGAGTGACACTGGCCTTTATTTGGCCTTGTCTCTGTAACCGGAAGGGATGAGTGCAGCGTGGAGTGGAGTGGGTGCTCTGCGTCATCGACTGCGTCGAGTGATTTGCAACTGATGGCTGTGGTGAGGAGGTCAAAAGAGGTGATGGGCAGGAGGTCTGATTCTTTTTTTTTAATGCCGTGAGGGTGATTTTTATGGAAGCTGTAGATGTGATGACAAAACCGATTCCCAGGCTGCAGAAGAACAGTATCCTCTTTTAGCACATTCACCTTTTTTTGTCAAAGTATGTCATGAAACTGCCAGTACACATTAAGTAATTAGTAGTAAACTTAGTAGTACATTTATATAAAATTAATTTAGTTACATAAAATGAAATATCTACATTTTCAGTTGAAAACAACTTCTCCGCAAAGTGTTTTAATTTCAACAGAAACAATTCATTGTACACTGACGAATCACCTCAGGGTGTCCACAGCCACACAAGTGGTGAAATATCAGCACCCTGTCCACTGAAGTCTGGAATCTATGGGGGGGGGAGGGGGTCAAGTCCAATTTGATCCAACTACAACCCCCGAGACGGCTTGACGTCAGCGCAAAAGCGTTGACAGATGTGGGGCGCTCGTGAAGAGAATGGGTGTCGGGCACGGCAATTTGTCATTTTGTTGCATACTGTAGGACAAGTGTGGTGTCTCTGATTCCCTACAACCAGTGTGCAGGTATATATACCGTTTTCTCTGTGAAGCCTCTGGTGTTGACATTGATTTCGGAGGTTTATCTAGCGTGGGCGTGCACTAACACATCTTTTCCTCCCCCGATACCAATTCCAATACCTCAACTCAAGGTACCAATCCCGATACCAGTGCTCTCCTTTTCACAGCTTTGAAGATTGGTAAACCTCTTTTGGACTCATTTTTATAGGAGGCACCGCGAGGGCAGGGACCAAAAAGTGACAAAATAGAACTAATGGCGTAAATATTTCTTTTTTTTTTTAACAACACTGACAAAGAAAACATTTAAAGTTAAATGTAATGTGGCCCCATCTGGCTAATACCTGATTACACACTTAAGGAATCACCTTTGTGAGTCTTGCGGATTATAAAAGACAGCTGGGTGTCCTCTTGTATCCTGGCCACAGACATGCCTGGTTTTGTTATGAGTGAGTCTGTCAAGCTGTAAGTATTGAAAGCGATAGAGGAAAGAAACAACAGCTCAATACCAGGATTTGATGCACTATATTATGTACTCCTGTAACACAGGGGAAACCTCCACCACCTTTTGCTTTGTTTCCCAACACACATACCTCACCCAGCAAAATGCTCTGTTTACCTGATTCTTATTCCTTCCGAAGCCTGTAAACCCATGAATTGCCTTTTTTTTCCAGAGGGCATCTGCCCTTTGGCTAACTGGCTGACTGTGGTTTCTTATGCATTTACACAGCATGTTAGTTTAAAGTCTCTTCCTCGGGCACGGCCCCTCTGATCCGCTTGCATGTGGCATACGTATTCACGCGTCAGCGTGTGTGTCTGTGTCTTCTCTCTCAGGCTACGGGATCGGCCTGCCCCAGGGCTCGCCTCTGACCCGTAACGTGTCCGAGTTTGTGAGTCGCTACAAGTCCGACGGCTTCATGGACATGCTGCATGACAAATGGTATAAGGTGGTGCCCTGCGGGAAGCGAGTCTTTGCAGTCACTGAGGTAAGCCATCGGCGAGGGACGGCGTTTGTGGATGGTGTTCATGTAATGGTGTGTAGAGCAAAGCGTTCTGCCCCCTGCCCCTCCTGTAAATGAGCCTCCCTTTGGGAGACGGGACTGGATTGCCTCCCGGCTAAGCACACATGCGTCGAAACATTGACCCGCGCGCCATCGTGGGGAGACTTAAAAACACATGGACGATCAGAGTTACAGGCACGTACCGTCTGGGTGTCGATACCCCTCGCCCCCCCCTTTTCTTTCTCTCTCTTCTCAGAGAGATGGGCTCTCCCCCGGAGCACACTGTCTGTATCTATACCTCTTGTTTGCCTACAGAGAAGCCATTCAACTCCCTTTGACCGTTCCTCTTAAAATCCACTCGAAAGTTAAATCCCATTAAAGCAATGAGCGATTTTAAACAGTCACAGGTTTATACAGTGAAATGAAAACCTCAACTTCAACCTGCATCAGCGAGTTATTACTATTCACCCCGTTTGATCCCAGCGAGCGTGTTACTCTCGAACAATGTGGGTGATCTTGCCCTCTGGATTGGGTGCAAATGGAGGTCAGTGTTGTTGCTGATGGATTTGCAGAGTCAGCATGGGGCTAATTGCCATCGGTGGCAACGGCGAAATGAGGCGGGTGAAGGAAACCTGATTAGAGGCTATTGGAAAAGCTCGCCGCTGTCTCTTCCACTTCCTCCGGGCCCATGAAAGGCTCATAAGAGAAAGACATTATGTCAAGGGGAATGTGGGCGAAACCAAATGTGAACAAACTGCTCTTCAATTAACCATCATCTCTTTTAACCGTCACCCCTTTAGCTGCTGTCCCTCTCAGTTACTATCAGTTTCCCCCAAAGCTCTTTATGCTGTTCATTCCCTCGCATCCTTTTCTTTTACAATCGTGTATTTTACGTTGTTGCCTGCTCCTCTTTATTCGTGTTATTGTGTGCTTTCACAGGCAAACCAGATGTACAGCAGCTGAATATCAATGGCATGTTTACAAAAAGTGGCCTAAATGGAAATTATGTAAATACGAAACATCAATCCCTGTATTTTTCTGCGTCGGCTCGGGTCTGCACTAATCTGCGTCCCTCCCTAAAAACCTCTTTCTCTCTCCTCTCTTTGCGCCATCACACTCCCAGACTCTTCAGATGGGGATCCAGCATTTTTCTGGCCTGTTTGTTCTGCTGTGCATGGGGGTGGGCGGAGCCTTGCTGACCTTGGCAGGTGAACACACCTTCTATCACCTGGTCATCCCTCGCCTCCGACGCACGCACACACTGCAGTACTGGCTGCACACCAGCCAGGTGAGTGGACGCACATTCTCTCACACACTTGCTTGCATTTGCTCAAGCACAGAGCAGGAAAGACGCACAAGCGTAGCCGTGACGTTACTCACATGTGTGTGAGCACACACGAAGACACACGCGCATGAGAGCAGTCATGTGCGCACACACACACACACACACACACACACACACACAAGCACCAGCACGCTGCTGCTGGTGAGGCTTCCCCAGGGGTTCACTCTCATCTTCTGGGGACCCTGCGCCCTCTACTGTTGGAAACTAACATCTTAAAACCTCATATCAGATGGATATTCAACAGATAACAGTTTAACTGTTAAAACTTTAAGCTCAATGTAATGCTAATTATCCCTTTGTTAATTAAAGTAATTCATTATTTAATTGCGCTCTGTAGCATTACCATTATACCTTAAATTAATAACTTAATTAAGTTAAAAGTTATTAAACTGTTACCATTTGCAGCGCTTTATTCTCTGTGAGGCAATCGGTTGGTAAATAGTTTTCACACATATCTGAATTTCAGATACTAAATATGTTACATTTAAATATGTCTTTTAATACAGATTGTTGTCTTATATCACGTTTTATTGCGTGCAACATACTTGAAAAATATACTTTGTTAACATGCAATTTAAATCAGTAGTTATTAAAAGAAAAAAGGTTACAAAGCAAAATAATAAACAAGATTTTAGCTTTTTGCGATAAGTCTGTTAGAGAATTGGTGCCTTCAAGACAACATGCACCACAAGAGACACTAATTGGGGATTTAAAGGTCATATTTTGTTTTGTTTTTTCAAAAGTCTAGTAGTTACCAAATGAGATGTCCATGGCAATATCTCACAGTGAATAATGGCTATCAAGACTGCTGTTTGTTACAGCCCTCTAAAAGGGCAACCACTCCAGGGCAGCTGTTAACATTCATCACAAGCCAGCTCAGTGATCTGAGAGGATGACCTCGAGTCGCTCCTTCAGGATAATCCTTACCTAAAGTAAACGGCTCTTTCCCCCAGATATCCTCAGGCAAATATACTGTACATCAGGAGGAATTTCAGCAGAGTCATACCTTCCACCTCAAGAGTTTGGTGAGGAAAGTCCTTCGCAATCTCACAAAAGCTTGGGACCTAAATCCCAAAAAGCTTTACTGATGCCTTAATTGACGCGTTTTAAGTATAGAAGAACTCTCTCACTGAATTTACTAATTGAATTAGGTTGTTCAGAGGAGCACGGCAGCACGGCTGAGAGAATAAGCTGTCAGTAATGTTCTGTACAATTGTAAAATAATGAGAATCTCAGAAATTAAAATCATCTCTTAATATAAGAGCTGAAGCTGAGTAAGTGATAACACATTTCATAATACTAATCAGCATTTTTTTTTTCCTCCTCTCTACTTGCAGAAGATTCACAGAGCCCTCCACACTACATACGAGGATGATGGGAAGGAGCTGACCGACCTCGACCAAAAGTAATGAAGTCACTACCTGACCTCATCCACACACGTGATCGTTCCCTTCCATTAAATTGTTCCAAGAAAAAACTAAAAAATAACGTAATAATAATGTTTTGGGATTTTAAACACCCCAAAATAAGTTATTACAAGTTGGACTATGTCAGAAAGTCGTTTCAGGTCTTTTTAGGATCAAATGTGTCTTTGCTTTTGCAAAAATCTGACTGTCAGGAAACTGCCTCTAACTTATTAAAACTCTTAAAGGAACACTTTGATATTTTGGGAAACGGAAATCCAGGCTCCATCTATATGATAACAAAATATGTCTACCAGCACTTTCAAGCTCTCTGATTTACACGCTATATCTTATTTATTCAATCCGTTCTTAGCTGCTGACGCCTCAACATTAACGTACGAACTGTTATCGATGTTCTCAGTTGACTCTTTGAGATACAGCAGATAAGCATTTTCCCCAAAATGTCAAACCTCAACGTTAAAACAAGTTTAATTGTATAAGAAACATGTGGAAACAGCCACCCTTTCCCTTCTGTTACTTATAATCAAAATTACTTTAGATTGAATATTTCAGGCAACACACATGATATTTTATTTAGCGTCATGTATGAAATTCTATTCAAGACAAAATAAGTGCTTTAAAGGTCTCATATTGTAAAAATGTAAAATGATCCAGACATGCTTTTAATTCATGCAGATGTGAGCAAAATATGTATTTTTTAAAGTACGTATTTAAGTATGTAAGTATGTTCTAGTGGAAACGCAATATGGAGGTTTGATACATCTAAATGTCAGATGTCACTGCACTCATCAACTGTAAACATTTTGTGTTTGTAAAATGTATCCATGTATACTGCTGTACAGCATATCTCACTGCATATAAGCCCTTTTGCTGTGATCTTCCTCTCTTTCACTAGCCCCTCCTCTTGTATCTCAGAGAACTGCACCCTACACAGGAAGCAGCATCAGCCTCCTCCCCCATCTCCTCCCACATCCCTCCCTGCTTCCACCACAGCCGGAGACACCTGCAACTCCTCACCCTCCCATGAGCCCAAGGAGAAACGTGTGCACTTTGACCTGGAAACCCTCCACAGCTACCGACTGCGCACGCACACCGCCTCGGTGCGCGGCCGGCCCGGCATGGTCGGCCGTCCCGGGCTAGGCCTGGGAGGCTGGGGGCTGGGAGGCCTTGGGCGCGTTAGCTCCCCTACACGGATCAACCTCCAGGCCAACGGGGGCCCCGTCTCCTCGCTGGCCTCCGCGGGCTTAGTGCTCTCTCCTCTGGGGAGCAGGGCCGCTCAGACCAGCCTGTGGGAGGGGGAGCTCCAGGACCTGCAGGGCAAGATCGAGACGTTCCGCACCCAGCTGAGAGAGGCTCTGGCCAGGAGAGCAGAGATCCAGAGCAGCCTGGAGAGAGAGAGGTGCGGGCTCGTGCACAGGGACACCAGTCTGGAGAGGGAAAGGGACAGACAGAGGATACAAACTATTCACACGGACAGGAGTAGCTCCACTCAGCCCAAACTCCCCGAGAGAGACAGGACCAGCCAACTGCAGACCCTGAATAATCAACAAGCGGGTAGAGAGAACCAATCAGGCGGCCCCTGGACTCTGGAGCACGGGAGAAGCAGCCAATTGAACACGGTTAACAGTCTGGACAGAGGGAGAGCTAACCAGTTAAGCTCTGTGAACACGTTGGCGGCAGAAAGGACTGTCCAGTCACGCGTTTCAAGCAGTTTGGAAAGAAGTCGAGTCAACCAACAAGGAGTTGGAAACGTACCTGTGCAATCACGGAACACTTCTAGCCTGGACAGACAGATGGCTAACCTGTCACGCACTCTGAACACTCTGGAGAGGACAAAAGCCAACCAGTCGAGTGGAGGCAGTGAGACTTGATGCGTAGAAAAGAGAAGTGCAGTTGGTAATTGCATAGCCGTGGGAAGATAGCCTTGTTGGAATGGGGCAGGTTTAGGGGACGCTTGGAAGAAAAAAACACTATATTCTAACTCACAACATCACTTAATCCAACCTAATAATTTTCACACTTGCTTAAAATTCAGACTAAAAAACTTTAACTGCAATTAAAAAAACTTTTAAATGACTACATTACTCAGTAAAACCATCAATCAGCAATCAAATATTCTGGAACGAAAGCCAATATAATTTCTGCAAAATATCAGAATATTTTAAGAAAAATCAGAGGACAACCAGCTCAGAATAGAATACGGCTAATCCAGCAATGATGAAAAAGAACAGTGTTTAATCAAAGGGTTGTGTTTGATACTGTAAACCATAGCCGTCCAAGAACAAAAGACTAAAAGATGAATAATAATATGTCCGTTTACACTGGAAAAAGAGACCCCCAAGCACATAGATACCCGCAAAAAGAGCACAGGGAAATTTAAGTTAGACCTATGTGATAAAAACACCAAACTGAACTCTTTGACAATGCAAATGGAACATCCGTCTAAACAGAATGCAGGGAGCCGGAGGTAAAGATGCAAAAAAAGTATATATTTTAAGAAATTCAAGTAAACATTTCACAGAAATGTGAATGATAAGGAAGAAAACTGTGAGGAAATAGTGGCACAGCCCTTAATCAATGTACCTTAAGGTGCCATAAAATAAAAAAATACGCTTTTTTGTTTGAACACCTAGTATCCTTGGGTGTATTATCCTGCCATCACCACTACAACCCCAATACTCCAATGTGATATGTTACTACAAAATCCCACTCTCATAAAATGTGTAAAAACTAAAAAGGTGTGAGCCCTTCCCAAACAGACGCTTTGAAATGCTAATTACCCCGGTGATTTGACAGGTTATGCAAAAATTCATCATATTATGGCTGGAAAATGCAGATTAACAGAACCCATTTACCTAAATATACAACCCGTTTTATGGGACTCAGTTAACACAAAGTCCCATTCCACTTAAATTGTCTTGGCCACATTTTCACATTGCATCATTCTATTCTATTCTATTCATTACAAACTGTATTTCATGAAGGGCAACTCCATGACGTTAACTGTTCATATGGGGGGTGTAACTCTGCATGTGAAAGCATTAGTGGAATGTCAGCTTGAGCTCTTAAGTCTAAGAAAATAATACCTGGTGACGAATAATAATTTGGAGACAGCTCTCTGAGCGGAGAGGCGGGTGAACCTCCTCCACATCAAGTCTAATAAACAGATTCTGTGGAGGAATCAATGATCCAGTGTTTTAAGCTGGAGATAATACTTCAGGCACAAGGACAGGAATAAATGGAAATATGCTAAACCACTGCAACACACCTTTAATTCAAATCAAAACCCTTTGCTGGTGGTATTTATTTTTTGCTGCAAACACAGATGATCCGTATCATTACCGCTTCTTTAACATGTGATGTGTTCATCAGTAGCTGCAGCAACTCCAGTCAGAGTTGTGTTATTTGTGTGTCTTCATTTTCCAAAGTGCTGTAGTTGTTGTCTAGGTAGCATATTTTCAAAGATGGTGGTTCTTCTATCTCATTCAAACGGTTAGAAATAACAGCCCGACATTCTGTTTGTTCGGATTAATGAAAAACCACAGAAAATTATCACAACCTCAAAGTCGTTTTCCTGAACCTTCAATCATCAACTCAAACAGGTCAAAGCAGTTACATTCATTTGCTCACCATATCCGTTACTGAAGTAATTCATTATGAGTCTAGCAACAATTTTGCGCTCAGTGAGTGTGTTGCGCATGAATTAACGCTGACTATAATTTACGGGCGCCCGGCAGATCGGAGAGAATTAATGCCTTTTCGTTTGTTGCTTTTTAGCATTGTTAAATATTGAAATAGATGTAAACTTTTCCACCATTTCCACTACGACGCAGCCTTTTTTGCTTTCTTTGTTTTTTCTTAAGTGAGTAACTTCTCATGCTCCATGTCAGTGATGAGGAGAGGAGGCTCTGACACACAGGTTGAATACGTTGGGACTCTCGTTCAGTTACTCAGTCAGCCACCAGAGGGAGCTGCATGCCCGCTTCCTGCGGCTATGGACGATGGAGAGTTTATGGATGGCGAATTTGAATCCAACAAAACTGCTTATGGCAGATGGGAGCTGCATTTTATGCCGAGGACCTGGGGAAATAAGGCCTCTATGAAATCACTGCAGCACTATACAAAGCAATGCCGCCTAACAGTATTGTGACACTCAGTCTTCTGTGAAAACCCTTTCGAAAAGGTGTGTCGAACTTTCCAAAGCCCACAGGTCTGAGACGGGGACAATGATGCTGCTGAAACCATACGTTAGGCTTCTATGACGGCACCGGTGTACATTTAAACGTTTCAAACTGCTGCTGTGGTGTGAAGTGATTGTTTTCACATCCCATGGTGTTTATGAGGAAAAAAATATATATTTTAGGTTTTAACAAGAAAAGAGCTTGTGATATTGGATATTTAAACAAATACTTTTAAATTGACCCCTTGTTAAGAAAATGTGTCAGCATATTATGGGATTTTATCATAATGATCATTCTCATGTTTTGAAATAAACATTTATATACGTATTTACTTGCATTCTCTCATATTGTCGGTGTGAACTGCCGAAGCAATGAGTATGCTTTCCCGAGGGTTCGACTCAATATACGTATAATGTACTGTACTGAGCATATAAAAATAATAATAAATAATAATAACCTATTTTATTTAAATATAGCTTTTCATAGCACTCAAAGACACTATACGTTAAAATCATCAAATGTAAAAAAGAAAGCATCTTTCTTTTTTACATTTTATACAACCAAAATCAGAAAACATAGTTTTAGTCTCCATTATTAAAAGCAGTTCTGAAAAGGTAGGTTTTGATATATTTGGTTTTAATATAGACGCTGATGTTTCAGAAGCCACCTGGTTGCATCATTAGCCTCCCCTCTGGAGAAAAAAAACGACAACTTATAACGGCTTTAAAGCTTTAAAGCACACCTCTCACCATCTCATGCAATTTCAGGTAAAACAAAAAATGAAAACATTTCGACAAAACATAGGAATATATTATCCGATACTGATGTGCACGGATGTTGTACCTTCACTAAGATACTCACTGAGTCCAGTCAAAGTAACATGTGGAATTGCAGCATAACAAGAGAGGTGCAATGACGGCTGTTGTTGCCTCATTTTTACCCTGCAGCAGGGACCTCTTTATTCCCCAGGGCCTGATCGCTCCTCCACCCGAGGGTGTAAAGCTATTGTTTAACTTGTCGTGTAATGACAGCTTTCAACCACAAAGAGGCACTTGAACCTGCTCTCTATAGGCACAGCGTATTTCCAATCATTTCATCAAAAAGATAGCGAGGTGTGCATCATTCGACTGTGTCCGTCTGCGCCCCTCGTGTATATTGGCTATTTAGTCACACTTCAGCCCCCCCCCCATAGCGGCGGCCCATAACATGGCAGAGAAAATAAGGGTTACGCATTCCTTCTGTATTGATCTGTACTCTTGTCTCTCATGTTTCACTCACCACGTAATCAAAGTAACATTAATACTAGAGAATGGTATATTAGAGGGAGGGAGAGGGAGAGGGAGAATGGGTGTAGCACGCTGATGATTTAGTGCCAGTGGATGGACCGAGTTGCGTATAGACTGAAGATAATCCCACGGTGATAAAGCCAATCAATCAAGCCCTCGCACATGCTTGGATTTGCCTCGTCGTAATAAAATAAACAATGGAGGATGCACTGAATGGGTTGTTTAAAAAAAAAAACTCAATCAATCTGAATCCAATCAAGAAATGTGGGGGCTCTCACAGATGGATGGATTGGTGGGCGTGTCGGCGTGCATGGATTAGCTGCTTTCAATGCAAAACAGATGTGGAGTGCAGATCTATTCACTATCTGTGCATGGATGCAGTAGGTTTGTCACTGGACAAACGCCTACCAGTGCAAACATGCATGCGTGCTGCCATTGTGGCTGTGGCCTGCGGTCTGCCCACATCTGAATGGAGACACTCTGCCTTTTGCTAAGTAATTGGGTCACAATTGATAAAAAGCAGTCGCGAACAATCTTAATCAAACTCAAAAATCCCCAACGCACATCGCTCCAGCAACTCCCTTCACCGGAGGTCTACAGCAAAGAGTGATGCATCCATTTCTGTTAACACAATAGTGGCAATTCCTGACTCTCAGAGGTACTGCCAAATCCACCATGTTGAGAGGAGAATGCGTGGTCTGTGGGAAGCGTGTTAATCCACCTCCACCTCACATGCCCCCCCCCCCCCTCTCTTTAATGCTTTGTCTAGTAGGAAAAGAGGAGCCAGGCCCTGAGAGTGATGAGTTTATTAGCTCCTGCCAGCTGGGACCATCTCTTGGGTGATATTGGCCGGTTAGTGGTGTGGCGGTGTGTGCGTGATGTTGTCGGGGTGCGGGGTGCACCGAGGAGAAAGATGGGATGGGGAGGGGGGACTACCCCAAGAAACTCCCTGGCAACCAGAGATGTGGTCACCATTAAACATGGATCCCCCCCCCCCCCCCCCCCATCTAGCGGCGGAACGGAGCCAAATGACCGAGGTTGAGGGAAGAGGGAGGGTGAGTCCGACAAAGTGTCCCAGGATGTTTCCCAACACGCATGTGTAACAATGATGGACAGGCGACAGAGGGGGAGGAGAGGAAACACGTGGGTGCCGAGTGGATGTTTAAATTCGGTTTTAAGCCGCATTAAGAATTGATAACTGTGGGAGCTACGCGATATACACCTCGTGCACGTGCATAAAACGCGCCAGCAATGCACGCGCACAGCCGACTCTCTGATGAAGGGTGTGAGTGAATCGCGGAGGTGGTGTGTGGACGTGATGCGGGGGAGGGGGGGGGGGGGGGGGACCTTTGCCGGAACCCAAAAGGCACCACCAGTGGTCGGCCGCGTGCCACACCCTTCTGGAGTAAACAAAGGCGGCGACACCTCCAGGGAGGAAGTTCAGGTGCAAACGGACGAATCTAATGGCGATTGAAAAGAAAAAAAAATCCGATGATATGATGCGAGCCTAATATTACAACTGCAATGCAATTGCCTGATCATAGATGAGATATCATCACAACACGGACCTCCACCCCTCCCCCCCCCCCCCCCCCCCCCCCCTCTCGCCTTTACGCACACATGCGCAGGCCGATGGGACGCACAAGCACACATTCCAAAATCCAGCCCTTTGTCTCGGTCGCCTCGCGGCCGCAGCCCCGGAGCAGGAATCCAGCGCGGAGAGGAGGAGAGAAGCGCGTGTATGTGTGTGGACCAGACGGTCTCCTCCCCCCACCTTGAACGCACTCCCCACACTCTCTCTACACCCCCCCCTCTCCTCCTACACATGCCTTTGTGTGTGTGTGTGTGTGTGTGTGTGTGTGTGTGTGTGTGTGTGTGTGCCCGCTGTGTAGCTGACTCGCGTACCCGAAAACCGTGTGACAGATGAGATTTTTCCGGAGAAGAAGCTTTTTCCTTTTTTGGAGAGGGTGTGTTTTTAAATCCGTTAGTGTATTATATTCTTTTTGAAGACAAAAAAAAAGAGAAGAAAGAAAAAACTTGCAGGTCGAAAGTGAGAGAAGAGAGAAACCGGGCGGACGCACGTGAGTCTCACGCGTGTCCACAGGCGGGACACAGAAAGGAAGAAACGCGCATCCAGCAAGTGCCGCAAATTGGACTTTCCAGCATCAGCAACCCTCCCCTCTCTCCCCTCTCTCCCCTCTCTCGCCATCCCCGCTCCTCCTCCCTAGGTCTCCCCACTTTCTCCCACCCAGCCTCGTCGCTCCAGCTCTCCTTAAGGGATCCCAAAATAGCCTCGCTCCGGAGTGCTGCCTGGATATTGTTGCATTGGGGTGAGGTGGGGGGAGGAGGGGGGGGTGCTGGTTTTCCGATCTCGGGGTGACTCGGAAGGGGTGAAAGGGAAAGAGAGAGAGAGAGAGACGCTGGAGATGGATTAAAGGGACGTTGCGCCGCAAAACTGGAGCAGCACGCGCGAGCACGCCGGGGGGGAAGGGGGCGACGGGACTCGGTGAATTCACGGAGCCCCCGGGACAGAGGTGAGTGTTTCTCTCCGCTTGTCCTGAAGCGTCGTGGCTCTCTCTTCCCCCGCATGCACCCCCCCCCCCCCCCTCCCCTCTTCACCCTCCCACCCCGCGGCAACCTCCGAGCCGGGGGGCGTGGGGGGGGTCAGCACATGGTTTTCCCCTTCATAATTGATGATCCGATACGCAATCTGCTGATTTCTGCTATGTGTAATCAATAGCCCTCGCTGAATGGCGTTCCCCTGCAGCGGCCCCTTTTACTATAAGCTAGAAGGGGCAGAAGAAGCTTCTGAAACACGACACAGGCAACCAATGTGAGCATTTACATTGTTGCACTGCGTTTGTATTCAAATCAGCTTCACCCCGATGGTTTGCGTTTGGAGAGGGAGCTCGTGTAAGTTCTCTAAACCCTCGTCTTCGTCGATCTGAGCATATGGCCCTTTATGTGTCCCTGGGAGCCAAGGGGCCCTGCTGTGGACATCACGGGTTCCCAGCCAGCACTGAAACTTTCTTGCTGGACGAGTACATGGTGGATGTAAGATGATTCTACTGCACTGGTACACTGTGATTGTCAATTCATTTTCAATTTCTAAGTGTGTTAGCCATGAGAACAGCGAATTGGCACTTTGGATTCAGGTGTTCGTGTTGATCCATGTCAGTGTAAACTAGTGTATGTCACACAGTGGTTTTTATACCTTTGTGGAAGAACTTAAACAGATGTGTATGCTTTTTTGGTTCTAAATGGACAAAATATAATGCTAGTTTTGTGAAAATAAGACTTCCTTGGGTGTGAAACGATATGGTTTTCTTTAAACAGAAACATACGTTTTCATGAACACAGTGACTAGTACTGCACCATCGGAAACAACAAGTCTCCTTGTTCCCATCAAAAGACACAGTCAGCATGAGAAATGTCTCCAATCAGCATTTCTCCCCCCTCTGCTTTACATTTTGTTATCGTCCCGATTGAGTTGATACACTCAAACACACTGCTCTATCGTTGCATGTTTCAACTCAAATTGATTTTGTATTTAATAATCTGCAAAAGATATTTTGATTATTCAACTATATTGTTTTTTAAATGAATGCTTGAAAAATGAATAGTTGAATAGATAGTTATGAAAAGACTTTCTGAATACAAATTGATTATCTGACCGTTCAAATCTAAATAATAATACTCAACTAACTTAGACAGATGCTAGTTCAAAGATAGGAAAAATAAAATTAGGAAACACCATGATAAATGGGCAAAGAAAGAAAGGCGGATGCTTCCCAGCCTGGCCTGAGGGATCCCTGAAGTAAGTGACGTGATGTAAAGCATATAATATCCCTCAGTAGACTTCCAGACGCTAAGAATCAATATCAAGCGCTGAAGCTTTGATACCTTATTCAGACACTCAGTATTGTGTTCTTTTTTAAATATTTGACCTATAGCGTACTTGTATACACATACAGTATATTATACTAGTACGTCATCTAGTCATGCTACTCAACAGCATTGTCCCGACCTACAAAATAAAAATGCATCGCCAAATGCATCCATGACAGAGTAAACTAATCTAGCTCTTACACATCAACCCCCCCCCCCCTCTTCTGTTGATGGTCACTGAGTCTTGTATCTCCCTCTCTGTCTGACAGAATGACAGACTGCTTCTAACCGCTGCAGACAACCCACCTTAACCGCCCCAACCAACACACACATGTGGTGTCAATTGCTAAGACTATACACCCATTCAAACACTGCTGTGATGAATGCAAACACACACACACACACACACACACGTCATGCCCCCGAGGACAAATGCTGGTGTGATAGATAAAAAGGCCTCCTTTTTCAGTAAAGAGGCTCATTTTGTGTGTGTGTGTGTGTGTGTGTGTGTGTGTGTGTGTGTGTGTGTGTGTGTGTGTGTGTGTGTGTGTGTGTGTGTGTGAGTGCATTGGTGTGTTGAAGTGAGGTTTAAGCACTGACTGGAGTAGGTCACTGAGACCAAGCGGCTGGGAGTGTGAGACCCGGGACGCCGCGTCTTCCTAAGCCGCTTTCAGCTACACTGGAATCCATCCATCCCAATAGCTCCGTCCCTCGCCCTGATCCCCCCCCCCCCCCCCCCCCACCTCTACCACCAACACCACCAATCCCTCTAGCCCCACCAGCTCTACCAGACATACACTGCTGCTTTCATCGTTCTTCTTTTCAATGTCTTTGATCTCCGCTTATCTTCTATTCACTTCTCTCCTATTCTCCTTTCCTCTCCTCTTCTTTCCTTTCCTCTTCATTTCTAGCCGCCATGGAAATTAGACTGGAGAAGTCTTTGATTCCTTGTGCCTTTCGCCGCCGCCTCGGGGTCAAGCCCTCTTGTCTCAGACAGAGACAGAGACGCAGAAAGGATGGATGGGGAGGGAAAGGAGGAGGGGAGAGGTAGAGCGAGAGAGAGAGAGAGAGAGAGAGAATAGTGCTCAGACAGGTGGCGGAGGAAGAGTGGGATGGTTGAGGAAGAAGGTTTGAAATTTGTCAACTGAAGTAAAAAAAAAAAATTGTAAAACTGTGACGAGAAAGAAAGTCAGATAAAGTGCCAGCGAGAGAGAACCGAGCAAAGGTAAGCAAACACAGAGCAAACAACAATAAAGTGGAGGGGCTGATGAAACGAGTAGAGATGCCTGGACAGCGTTCAGGCAGCACAACTTTCTTAAAGGGTGGTATTTTTGGATTGAAGCCTTGGATCAGCAGATTTTGTGCTCATATTCAATCTGCTGGAAACTTTTAAGTCTGCGAGCCAGAAAAAAAGGAAATTGCAAGTAGAAAATGTCATTTACACACTTATTGGGGTCCAATACGCTCCACTCCAACTCATCCTTAGTCGTGTAATTCCTTTTTAGTTGGCTCGGCAGGCCTGTGACACAATGTGCTGCAGGTTTCAGCGTGTGTGTTCGAATTAGAACAGTCAATATTGACGCAATAAAAAAATATCAGGTCAGCCGTGGAAGTTGGTAGAAAAGGAAATGAAACGCAATGAAAAAAGAGGGAGGTCCTGAGAAAAGTGTTGGTGAAGTGGAGGCGGGTTGTTGGGGAGAGGATGGGATGTACGGAAGGAGATTGATTTAGCGATAGGTGGAATGGGGAGCAGAGAGGTGTGCGGGGTATACGGGGTTTGATCGCGTGAGCGAGAAGGATTGAAATGGGGTAGAGGACAGATGTAGAGATAGCAGGACCTGCAGAAAAGGAGGGCTGTGAATATTTAACTCTGTTTAGCTTTCCAGTCGGGCTCTCTGCTCCTACCTGTCTCTGAGGCCTTCAAAACGCCTGCAGGTTACTGACGGCAGGAGGCGCCGGCGTGTCTGTATGTCTATGAGTTTGTGAGGAAGAAGACAGAAAAAAAACAGAAAAAAAACATTTTGAAGTTAAAAAGTTCCTTTTGAAAATGGATTTACTATTCTGTTCGCAGTTTCAACATCTTAATAACCTTTGACGTGTTTGCCTGTGTCCGTCTCTACCGTCTCTTGGATATATCGTTACAATATGGTTATCGTCAAAACATTCAAAAAAGACAGGTAAGGGGACTTATCATTTTGGGGTTAACTGTCCCTCATTCCCGCCTTTGGAAACCGTTTAACTGTTTAACAGGTCCGGGCTTGGCAGAAGTTTGAACATCTTTTTGATGCTTCAGAAATATTAATAGAAGTCCATGAACACCTCCTTGCTGACATCTCTTTGCAATCTGTTATCCCAACAGGCCTTGAATGGTCCCACCCCAAGATGACTTCCCCCAAAAACAAAGCCAAGAAGAAACAACCCAAAGACAGCATGACGATGCTGCCATGCTTTTATTTTGTAGAGGTATGTGTCAATCGATTGATGAATCACTTTTATTTGACATGCCAAAGCATGGTCAACATGACTCACTACATCTACTGAATGAATCACGAGTGGAGTCACTCTGCTTTACGCTGTTGCCATAGCCATACTTTTTCCTTTTGCTGATTGGCAACTGGATGCATCTGACCTGGACGAGTTTGAAAAAATGGTGTCATCACTTTCTGGGTTTAGCTGTGTGTCAGTTGTAGTGGTGGTACTTGAGATACGACATTGGATGATCACCCTTTTCCAGGCAGATATTAAATGCCAGTCACTCTTCTCTTTGTCCTTTTGCATGGGGCGGCGTCTGTGTGTGTGTGTGTGTGTGTGGCGTTACAGCTTCCCATCGTCCTGTCCTCCTTGGTGTCCTTGTACTTCCTGGAGCTGACAGATGTGTTGTCCCCGGCGACGGTGGGCTTCCGTTGCCACGACCGTGAACTGTCCATGCCCTACGTGGAGACCGGTGACGAGCTCATCCCTCTGCTGATGCTGCTGAGTCTGGCCTTTGCTGGTCCTGCAGCGTCCGTAAGTACATCACACACACACACACACACACACACACACACACACACACACACACACACACACAGACACACGGGGGGGGGATTTTTGATGCAGATGAAAGTAGTCCCCTGAAATACTTGTTTTAGATATTTTTTTAACGCCTTTTATTAGTGTAGTTGGACACTAGTATAGGCTAGAGCGAGGGAGGAGATGACATTCAGCAAAGGGCCTCGGGCCAGAATAAAGCCGCCATGGACTAAGCCTACATTGGGCGTACGCTCCATGGAGTAAGCTCAGGCTAACCCCAAATACAATTTGAGACAGTTTTGAGCTTCTACCTTGTTGCCCAAACACTGACGGTTCTTTGATGCGGGCTAATGAGGACATGGCACTGGCTTATTTCAATTCATGGATGTCCACGGAGCCAAGTGCCAAATTATTTCCAAAGTGGAAAAATGCTCTTATATTTCAATGGATGGCTATTACATGGTAATTTATCCATTCAAAAAAACATTGATATTACTGTTGTCCCAACAGTATCAAATGGTGCAGTTTGCATGATCAATATTAATCAGTGAACCCTTTTACCAGTGATTGATTTACCATTGCTGTTAGGTGCTGGCAGGTAAGATGCGTTTGGTTTATTAGAGCCTTGTTTCACTGCTGTAAACTGGACTGATGAGCTGAATTCACTAAAAAAGCTTGTTAAAATAATACTGTGTGGTTTTCCCACATTTCTTTACACTGTGTTTATACAAATAGTGACTGGCGAAGCTTCACAGGAGCAAAATCTCATTGATGATGTTGGAGTCAGAAGGATAAATGTGGTCACAGAGGATCAGATATTTAATGTGTTTGGGGGATTTGTTTGTGGCTTCTAATCACACACAGAGATGCCCGATTGCACAAATATGCAAACATACAGTTTCCCCAACACCTGCAAAGCAAATCAAATCTCCCCTCAGGAATGCAAAGTCAATGGACATGTTGAGAAATACTCACCTGAGATTCCAATACACACCATGAAGCAGGCCACAGGCTCCCCCAATCAATACACACACACACACACACACTGCTCATCCATCAGCAGCATAGGAACGAGCAGAGCTCATCTATCGCTCTGATTGGAAGTGATCACTATTCGATAACACCATGCCTACGTTCCCCCTCCGTAGCTCTGTCTCGCACCATGAATCACAATCACACAAATGGACATTTGACATTAACGGCACATTTTCTCCACTCTTTTTCTTTTCTGTCGTTGTTTCTTTCCCACACTTATTACCCACGTCCCGTCCTCTCTCTTGTAGATCATGATGGGGGAGGCCCTGACGTACTGCTTGCAGTCCAAACTGAAGACATGTCCCAAGTCGGAGAGCAGCATCAACGCTGGAGGCTGCAGCTTCAACTCCTTCCTACGCAGAACCGTGCGCTTCGTCGGTGCGTCCACATTCCAAATCCCTGTTCGGGGGCTGTTTTGGAGAGAGTCGTGCAGGATACGTTGCAGTTGCTTTGTACCTAACAATAGCTGTGGTGCAGCTTGCCTCAGGGTCTGTCTTGTAGAGGGTCTCATTAACCGCATGGTTTGTCTAGCAGCATTTTTTTCCCACCAATGATAAATTTGTTGGTAAAGAGGCGGCAGACAAAACAAACATTTTGAGTGCTTTTTTGAAGTGATCGCTGATGCGTCGTGTTCGAGTTAATTGGTTGGCAATTGTAATTGTAATTGCGTAAGTGTGACAGCATTGGAGAAGCGGTGTGTTTGGATTTACTTCTTTTCCCTTTATTTTTTTAGCTACACCATATGAAGGGATCGCTTGTGTATTGCATTTAAGTCAATTAAATGCTATTCTTAATTACCTCATGGACTGTACCTCTGTACAATCCTTCGCAGTAAGGTCAGTGGGAGAGTGTCATGTCCCAATGTGTAGCTCACATTTGGTCCTCGGGGAAAACAACACAGTTCATTTTTTGAAGGATAAAATGCAGCGGTGCTCAAGATGGAACTTTTTTCGGTCGAACAAATTGCTCCGTTTACCAGCTGAGTCCCCAACATGATTCCAAGGCAAATAAGCTAATTACATTAGTTGAATGAAGGGTGACTTAAAAAGGGGATGATACAAATGCTCCATGGGAAATATCTTGAGGCCAACTTTTAGCTTTGAAGTGAAAAGAGTAATTAATTCATCCTGCCAAATTTCCCTGTGCGCGTAATAGCATCACAACGTTACAAACTGGCTTTTGGTGTCACTTCGGGTTGTTGCTTCTAATTCAGTGCCCCCCCCTCTCCCTGCGCCTGTAACTGCTGGTGTTCATAAGTGAACAGCTCATAGTAAAGGAAACCCCCCGGGGGCTTTCGGTTCATCTACTAAGGTCGCCTTACCATCTTTATCTCTGTCCGCTGCCTCTGTCCCTCAGGTGTTCACGTGTTTGGTCTCCTGGCAACAGCCCTGGTGACAGATGTCATCCAGCTAGCTACCGGTTACCACTCCCCTTTCTTCCTCACCGTCTGCCAGCCCAATTACACGACTCCGGGGGTCTCATGTGAAAATAATGCCTACATCACACGGGACATTTGTATGGGGAAAGACCAATATGCCATCTTGTCAGCCAGGTAAGACGCAGAGATGAATGTAGGGAGCACTAAAACGGTCCGATTTTCAAATCTAAAAAGAATAGAAAACTTAAGAAAGAATGCAATGCATTTATTATATTGGTTCAGCTTCATAATAATACTGTTATCAGGAATTCTTTTGGTCATGGTGATGTTGTGAAGAGATGATATCGGGACAGCCTTAATTGTTATACATCTCTTTCTTGCAGCAGCGCATATTAAAACTAAAGGAGGCCTTGAAATTTATTTGCAGAGGATTACATGAGATTAAAATGAAGTGAAATTCTTGTTACAGTTTAATTTCTTAAACAATGTAACATTTGCTTATTGATTATATGCTGCTTGGTAAAGTCAAGCGTTTATTTCTACAATAAGACTTGCAATTCCCTTACAAATTCCCTGCAGGAGCGACTCACTCACGCGGGTTGCAACTAAATTTGACTCCTGTAGAATCTCTTAAGCAGGCCAAAGTGAAACAAACAGACTAACAAGTAACAGTAGGTATTAGAGTGGTATTTAGACATAATAAGTGCAGATAGAGACACCCGGGGATAGAATTTGTGTAATAATAACAACGTTAGTATCGGTGTAGCGAGCTAGAGAGTTTAAACGGATCTGATTCAACTAATCAACAGCTATCTTGGAATGAAAAAAGTATGTCAGACTGTGCAAACGCTCTGTGCATCAGTGCAACGCTACCAGGAGCCGGAGCTTTAGTAGGACAGCTGCTTCTTCTGACGCAAAACAAACCCAAAACAAAACAAAAGTCAGTGACTCCATGGAATCGCTTGATTTATCCTGCAAGCTTCAATCTGCAGTCATCAACAGAACATGTGTATGTTTAACTTTAAACATTAATATTGTTTCAGTATGTTGTGACTTCTATTGCATTGTGTTACAATTGCATTATGTTTTGAGTATTTCTAGTTAGTAATAAAAGTAAGTCAGTTAGCTTTCTTGCTTAACTTACCCGACAAAGCTGTTCAAAATTAAGTATTTCTTGTGAATATCACTCAACACTACTGATATCATGGGGGTTATAATCTTGTCTGAGAGGGTATGAGTTGGACCGGGCCAATAAATACCCCAAAGTACTCACAGTTTGACAAACACCACCAAATGCAATAAAGATGTAGCTTTTTTCTTTTGGGGGGAAAAACGAATCCCTCTTTTTCTCTTTTCCTTCACTATTTCGCACCTAACTATTCTCTTTTATCCCCCCAGGAAAACATTTCCATCCCAGCATGCAACGCTCTCTGGCTTCGCAGCTGTCTATATCTCCGTAAGCTCTTTTGTGTTGTGTTTGTATACACTGGGTGTGATGTATTTTCATGCTTGCGTTTGCGAATGTGTGCATATGGTTTCTCTTTTGTGTCTCTCTTGTAAAACAGCTACTTTACTGGTCATTTAGAATGAGTTAATCCTGGTTTGATTTACAGTGAAATATTTAAAGTAATTTAAAAACATCAATTCTCAAATTCACAGCAATGTGGGCTTAGACGTCCTACGCAGAGGAATTCTCTCTCTCTCTCTACGTGTGTGTTGTAATCTGAGTTTATATGTGCTTTGTTTATGTAGCCGGTCCACTCTCGCGTGCATATGTGTCCAAGTGTGTGTGTGCCCTACTAGCTAGCTACCCACCAGCGCTCTGCACTGCCCTCATATGTCGGGTACGGCTGAAAACACTTACAATACATGTGTGCACTACATTTATCTTTTCCTTTACGTTTGTATTTAATTTTGTGGTTTCGTGCCATTCATGTGCATCATAACTACCCAGATGTTATCAAGTTATTAATAAGGAACACTGCTGCTGTCATTGTACGGTTGGTTCCTGCATATCAGAGGACTTTTAGCTGGAATAAAATCACAGTCACCTCATACATAAATCACAAGTATGTTATGGTGTTTAGTCACTGAGAGATGTGCGTATTTCAGACTGCAGTACCCTCCAGCCAAAGAGTCACCCAAATCCCATATAAAACAATAACAGGGTCAGATTTCTGTTCGCTGTTGTCTGAGGACGACAGTAGACGTATGGGAACTGTGCAGCAAAGTAGCACTGTAATTGTCCTATAGGACAACCCCCTCAGCGACGCACACACTCCCACACTAATGGCCATTCGAGCTGCTAGTCATCTGGCTGCTGCTCATTAAAGCTCACCAGACCGATTTCTGATGAGACAAAGGGAAGGAGACCAGGAGGAAGGCAGTAGTCTTTGTTGCTAGAGTTACAACATGTTATTTAAATGCTGCAAAGTTAAGAAGAGCATTAAGTCTGTGTAATAGTTCTACGGTCCCGACTATATCAATTATTCCATTTGTTTCCATACCTTCTCTCCACACATTTTTCTTTGCTGAAACTTGACCGAAAAAGTTGATCACTTAGACACAATAGACATTTTAATTGCATTGTAAATCTCACCTTTCTGATTGAAAACATTGTTTGTGGCCACGACTAGAGGGAAAAGTTTGTTCAAGTGAATATTTTTGCAAAGGCCGCTTCCCTGTCACTCATCTGTCTTCCACGTTATGTAACAAAATGCAGCGTGCACGGAGAGAATTTCAATATAAATATAGTAAAAACAATGCAAGCTGTTTCTCCCTGCGTTTGATCTTTATGCTAAGCTAAGCTAACCGGCTTCTGGCTGTGGCCTCACCTTTGACGCATGATCGCTAATCGGTCTTCCCATTTAACCGTTTACCTGCAAGAATATTTTCCCAAATGATTCCTCTGATAACAAAGTTCTCTCTCCGCAGATGTATTTCAGCGCCAGCATCAGCAGCACAACCAAGCTTCTGAAGCCGCTGCTGGTGTTTGCTTTCTGCATGGCGGCGGGCCTCGCCGGGCTGACGCAGATAACTCAACACCGCAGCCACCCGATAGACGTCTACGTGGGATACGTCATAGGAGCCGGCATCGGCGTCTACCTGGTTAGTGAGAATAAGATTTATCCGGATAAAATCTCACTCGAGTCAAGGGGAATCTCCTCTATGAATTTCCCGTTTCAGGTTATAAGTGTTGGAAATGAGTACCTGTAAATGTTTGTTGGCATTTGGGGATACGTTTTGTCCCCAGAGAGTTGTTAGCAGTCAGCACACAGCGGTGTGGGAATAGCCACATAGGCTACACATGAATAGATTTTTTTTTTCACTAATTAAGTTTTGCTGTGACTCAATAGTTCTATTGTGTTATTCTAACACTATCACAGCATGTGCTTATCAATGCCTCTTTTTTTAACCGCCTCTCCCCTCGGTGGTGCTTTCACATATTTCTCTCCTAGCAGTCTTTTTTAGGAGGCTCTATATATAGGCTTTTCTATTACGGAGGAAAGGGAGCGAGAATAACTAATCCGAATTCTCTGGAACAATTTCCCACTTCATTTTAAGACAACTTGTCGTTGCCATTTTCCACGCTCCTTTTCTCCTCTTCTCACTCTCTTCCTCTATCGCATTTTTAAGAGGGGGAGCCTTTCTTCCTTTCATTACAGGATGAATTCTGATAGTGGGAGACGAGAGTGAATCATGCCAGCGAGGAAAAGGAGAAAAGCTCATCCGTGCACTAGCTTCCCACTAACGGGAATATACATTTCTTCCCTTCCCAAAGATTAAAGAAAACACACTTTCACGCTTCAGTCTTTATTTAACATGCTGGATACTTCTACCTCCTTGTTTGCCCCCCCCCCCCACCCCCCACCTTATCTCTGTGTCAGGCTGTGTTTGCAGTTGGAAACTTCAAAGCATCGGACGAAGATGCTCCCTCTTTGCAAAGACTGGCCCCAGCTCAGCAGAAGGACGGCGGCCTGCGGGTGCTGAGCCAGCGGAGCCATGATTCCCTGTACAGGAAGACTCCCAGGGTGTCTGAGAGCAGGGAGGAGCTGGGGGCGGGGCTGAGGTCGGGCGCTCGCTGTAAGGTCAGGAGGGAAAAGGCCTCCTTGGCCTCCCTCAAGCGAGCTAGTGCCGACGTGGAGCTGCTGGCAACCCGCGGCCCCATGGGCAAGGAAACCATGGTAACCTTCAGCAACACCTTGCCGCGGGTCGCAAACGGCAACAGCCCCATCTCCCCCTCGGATGAGCTCCCCGCCACTCAGCGTCACATGACCTTCCACGTGCCCTTTGACTCCCAGAGGTCTAGGCAGCTGGTGTCAGAGTGGAGGCAGCGCTCGCTGGAGCTCCGCAGCCAGAGCTCACAAGACGACGAGGAGGGAATCGACGGCAGGGACAGAGGAGACGACAGAGGGGTGGCGGCGGGAGAAGGAGAGCAGGAGATGCCTTCGTCGCTTTATCCCACCGTGCAAGCCAACAAGGGCGCCGCCACGCCGACGGCGGCCAGGATGGTGGTGGCGCCCCCGCTGGTTCACATCCCCGAGGAGGCCTCCCGTCCGCCGCCTGTCTCCCCGAAGAGCGCCAAGACCCGCGCCAAGTGGCTGACGCTCACCGAGGGAGGAGCGGTGAAAGAGCCGGGACCAGGGCCGATCCCGGTGTCGACTCCCCGCGTGCCCAACACGCAGCCCAGCCAGCCGCCCAGCCAGCAGAGAGTCACTCAGGTGGGGGGGGGGGTGTAATTAGAAAATGAGCGCTGGCAAATCATAGTAATGACATTATTTTGAGTGGTCATTTTTCATTCTTGGATTTCAAGTGGCATCCTGCCAGTGCTGAAAATATACGTTGGACAGGGGAACAGATTTGATAGATGGCAAATCCATCGTGATTTATATTGTTGGTAAAATCAAAACAACAAGTGTTGGGGCAATTTCAATTATAGTTGGAATAATATTGAAACAAAACATCTGTCAGGGATATTGGATATATTTCTATTAACTGTAACAAAATGTAGTGCCTGCTTTTCTTGAAACTTCATTGTTAACCTCGGAAACAGCAGCTGATGAAGCAAGGGCGCCATTTTGCCAGCCGATCTGGATCAACCGCCTCACTGAGCTTCTTCCCCTTGTGTATTCTGACTAGATGGCTCTTCTGTCCTCCAGGTGATAGCCATGTCCAAGCAGCAGGGTCACGGAGTCACGTCGTCCGCCAAGACGTCAGAAGGCGGCTCCTCCTCCGGCGGCGGGTCCAACTGCTCCGAGTCGCCGTACTACCGGATCCCCGCCGATCGAGACAGCTGCACGGGGAGCAACCCGGGGAGCATCGCCGGCAGTGGGAGCATCGTCACGATCGACGCTCACGCCCCGCACCACCCGGTGGTGCGCGTGTCTCCCGCTAACGGCAAGCCGTGGGAGTGGAGGAACACCATCAGCGGCAACATGATGGCCGTCGACACGGCGGGGGACAAACACCGCATGTCGCTGCAGCGACAGGACAACGTCCACCACTACCGGGATTACCGGACGCTCCCCGTGAAAACGGACTCGCTCTGCTCCTCCGAAGCGGGAGCGGAGTTGCCTCCTCCGCCTCTCCCCATCTCCTCCTCCCCTCTGCCTCACCCTCCTCGCCTGTCATCGTCCCCTCTACCGCCACCGCCGCCCCACTCGTCTACTTCACCCTTGCCTCCCCCTCCTCACCCGAGCTCCTCTCCAATGCTTGCCCCGCTCCCTCACCCCGCTTCCTCTCACATGCCTCCCCCTCCGCACCTGTCCTCTCAGATGGCCCCGCCTCCCCTGCCACCGTCCTCTCAGATGGCCCCGCCTCCTCACCCGTTATCCTCTCAAATGCCTCCGCCTCCTCACCCGTTATCCTCTCAAATGCCACCGCCTCCACCCCCCTCCTCCTGCCAAATGCCCCAAGCTCCTCGCCCGTTCTCCTGTCAATTGCCCCCGCCGCCACACCCATCTCTTTCCCCTTTGCCACCGCCACCGCACCCGGCATCCTCCATGCCTCCGCCTCCCCACCCGTCCTGCTCCAGCATGCTTCCCCCTCCTCCCCATCCCGACTTGCTGATGGACAGCCACAGCCACGCGCTGTCCCGCTCCTCCACCCTGCCCCGCCGGCCCTCCGTCTCCGCCCGCAGCCACGCTGAGCAGGAGCACTACTACAAGGCGATGCAGAACGAGAGGATGTTATAGTAAAGACGTCGTTGTCATGACAATGATCGTACTTCAACCATAGGAGGTCGTGGCAGGTGAAGAGAGATTTAGGACTTTTGAAAAAAGGACATAAAAGGTTCAGAGACAAAATGCTGTAAATGAAGAGGCAGCGGGGGGGGCAGAGGATCATAGGGGTTGGCGGTTGGGGGGGCCTGGCAGCTCACACGCACTCAGCAGGGGGTCTCATTTACTCCTGCTCACATGTACCGCCCACAGCGCCGGCTAAGCAGGTTCTGACTAGGAAAAGAACACACAAGAAAAGAAAAGGGCAGTTTCCAGGAGCAGGTTGAAGATTTAAAAAACCCTGTTCACCTAGTTTCAACACGCACATCCTCTGTGTTTCTTTAAGGCACGTTCAGAGGAAGAGTGGAAGACGCTGCAGCTGAAAGAGAGATATCACAATGAACGTTCTGGGCTTTGGTAAATCCGGTTTTCCCTTGATAACAGGACTGAGGAAACAAAACAACTACAGGAGTGATATCTCTCCTTAAACTAACAGCTGTTTGAGAATGTTCACAAAGAAAATAATGCATTGACTTTTAAGTACAGGATGAAGAATGCAACCCACACCGGCATCCCCGTCCTTTGACCACTCCGAATACACAAACCGAATGGGAAAGTTCATACCTCACGCCAAGCAAATCTGTCAGCCTCCACCAGACTGAGCAGGAATAGGAAGCGTTGCTCTCTGGTTTTGGTGTGAGAAGGCGGAGGAGGAGGAGGAGGAGGAAGAGGAGGAGGGGAAGGGGATGGCATAAGGAGGATCACTCACAGTTGGGCACCCCTATACAGACGTCACTGAATGGATTACTGTTGTAAACATGAGAGGCGGTGGAATGGAAGGAGGATTGTTCCTGAAGCGCAGAGGGGCTGCTGGGCCGAGCAGCACAGCGAGCCTGTCTGTCTGTCTGTCTGTCTGCCACGGAGTCCGAAGCATCGCAGAGGAGATTAACGTTCGTTTATCAAACCATGCTTGCACACTATTCCGTATGCAGAGCATCGCATTTGGACCTCTGGCAAATATAATTGCTAATGGACAGCTGCCTAGCCAATAGTAGAGCCCATCATCATCATCATCATCATCATCAGCGACATGCACATTGGCTCAAGCAGTCTGTTCGTACGTGTTTGATTGTGGTACCACTTAGTAACCACGCACACTTCATCAGGGGTTTGTTTGTGCGTCATAGATCAGAATAAGGTATTTTGTAGTCATGTTTTCTTATCTGCAGAAATACCTTCTGTCTTTTTATCTACAGTAGCCATTTAATTTTTCAGCTCCGCTGAAGAGTTAATACAATATTTACACACTTACGATTCTTTATTCATCCGCGTATTCCATCTATTACCCGAACCTGTTTATAACGAGACAATGCCAGTCGGTCACACGGATGCCCTTATTTGTGGAAGCCTTATTAGAAAGTGACGCCACCAAAGAACCAACACAAACCCCCGACGGGGCAGCGAAAACCTGAAACAGACAAAAGAATCCTGAAGCTTTTCACCCACGTGTCAGTCGTCATCAGCAGATCCTGTTTGCTCAGTTGTGCATCTCCTGATGCGGCTCATGCAGTGCAGTCAAGAGGTTGGTGGTAAACCTCCAGTTGATTGGTTCAGCCAGCTGATGCTTTATACAGCAGGTGACCAATGTGCTTACCGCTTCAATGTAAGCCACTAGGTTTAGACATTTTTAAACAAAAACGATTGATGATTAACCATAAACTGAATCTAATATTAACTGATGAGGAATATAATCAGAAACACGCGTCCATCCCTTCTTCCTGTTCCCTCCTGCTACTTGTTCTATTTAAACAGCGTTGTATATAGTTGTTACGTGTTAATTATCGTTTCATACATCAAGTTTTTTATAACTATAAAAATATTACTTCCAATGACAGGTGCTTCAATTCAGATTGCACCGTGATGATTTTTTAACGAAATATTTAAAAACATGGTAGAGTTGGTTGTAAGCCACGAACCTACACCTGACGTGGTGCTGTAGGCTCAGTGAAACAGCTCGTGTTCGGTAGTGGAGCTCCTCACACGGGGAGCTGCTAGATGATGTCACTTGTCGGTTTGTGCTGCATGTGTGTAAGAGCGTGTTTTTTAGCGTTAATTCTGTGGTTCGAGTCTGCTCTGTTAACTTCGACGGACAGACGGGCTGCATTTTTTAGTACTGGTGATAATCGTTCTACTTCCCTCCCATTTTGACTGTAAAAATACTTGTTATTACCATACATTATTAATGCTAATATTATTCTGCAGTCCTCTTTTATGGGCTGATGTTTTTCTATCTGTGGTGATGTGTAACATTAATAACTCTCATTGAATAAAAAACAAAGACTTCATAACTGAGGTTTCATATTGTCATACTGTGCAGGGGCAGCTTTTACCACCACTCTAATGAAAAGGATATTCTCCATTGATTCTTGGGTTATGAGTACATATTCGTTCTGTACACTCACACAATGACACACACACACTCACACGATTACACACAGCCGGACTGATACGGCCTGCACCAGTCTGGCTGTTTGCAACATTTGCTCCTTTTTCCTGAGGGCTAGTGTCAGGTTTCCATAATGAATTCTGATGCTCCATCCCAGCTGACCAGCAGGGTCTGTGTGTCTGTGTGTGTGTGTGTTTGAGCATGTGCACAGGCTACAGTATACCGAAATGTTCCCCTTAGTTTATATTGGAGGTGCATTGAGGGAAATGATGATGATGATCTAGATATAAGTCACTGTTGGAAACATGGTCCACATTTAGTGAGATTGTGTGTTCATTCGGATATGTATCACAATTGGGCCTTTTTCTATCTGTATGTTTGAGTGTGTGGTTCGACTAGCATGCATATTTGTGTGTGTGAGTGTGTGTTGGGAGCATTGAGCTCTGTGATGAGGCCACACAGGCAGTGGGGGTGCAGATGGTGTACTCCGGCCTGAGGACAGGCAGCCTGTCCATGACTCACACTCAGCAAGCCAGCAGCTCTCTCTCTCGCCTTCCACCCTCAGTGTCCCAGAAAGCGCAACACAACAAGTGTGTATTTGTGAGTGACGGCAAGGAGGAGGCAACAGAAAATGCGGACGGCGCTGTCTTTATGCATGTGTCCTGTCTGTGTATACGTGTGTTTGTGGGTGTGTGTGTGCGTGCATGTGTGTGAGAAGGTAGCTGTCCAACCGAAGCTGCTGACAGTCTTTTCACATCTGATTTACCACTGCAGAACAACACAAAGGCCTTTTGTCCGCAGTTCCTCTTTTATCTGGCTCACTTTGTCACTATCCCTCTCCCTACTGCCATCTCACCCGGCTCCTCGTGAATCTTTGCACATTGAGAAAGGGGATTTGGGGCTTTGGAGCTTATATCCTGGTTTTCCTCCAGTTCTCAGTTTCTTGAATGAGCGGATTCTAGGGTTGTAGGGATCAGCTTATTTACAGTCAGATAGATACAGGGGGTAAGTGTTCTGCAAAGTGTCTTATATGAAAGGTCCGTCATATCTAACATAGCTACAGGCATTGATAATATTGACAATACAACCTCAGTCCTTAAAATATGATTCCTTCTCACTGTCTTGGAGGCTGCTTTGGCAATTATAAAGGAAAGGAAAAGAAACTGATGGTTTTATATTCCTACAACGGTTGTTAAAATCGTCATCCCGGGACCCTCTGTAAATTAAGTTAAGTCTCTCAAGAGCTTATTAAATCACGTTATAAATCCTGTCATTTGTTGACCCACCAGGCACAGAGAGAGATCCCATATGATAACGTGTACGGCCAATGGCCGGGGGGGCTAAGACTGACATTTCTACGAGGCTGTCTTCATTCAGTCAGAAGCTCATGTTTCTTTCCTGAGGTCAAAGAATTTAAAGAAATTATACTGTGTCTGCCACCAAACAGACCATAAAACCATAATGTCCTACCAGCAACATTAGCTGGTATTTTAACACAACATCAACTATGGGGACTTACAAATATTTTAACCTTGTGAAGAATATTTTCCCTCCACGGATACAGTCTTGGTGTTGATAATAAGGCTTGCTGGCTCGTTCTCTCTTTTATCCCCCAGGCTATAGAGGGTGATAAATGTATTAATGTTACACTTTTTCAGCTCAGCGGAGAACCGTACAATTGCATTAAGTTCTTTTCTACTCAAAGGGCCACTGCTGCTTTAGAGGAGCTTCGTTTCCATCCAGACGGATTCCTTAGATTTTCCCTATGGGGAACACAGTTAAATGCTAACATCAGCAGGCTAACACGCTTTTACGATGGTGAGGCTGTTGAGATTTACCTTATTTTTGTGAATATCTGTGCTGGATTTCATAGCAATAAATGAAACAATTAATTATATTCCACACAAAACGACAAATATAACCTGGTGCTAAAGAGGAAAAAGTTACAGGATAATCAATGCAGTATACAATTCCCTCCTCTATGGGGAGCATGCATATATACTGGAGTAACCCATGGTGTATTTAGTTGTTGAGATATTTTTATGTAGGCTAAAGTGGTGAACTGACTCACCACAACACCAACACTACCACGGCTGTAAGTTCATGAAACTTATTAAGGTTTTTAAAAAAGACGCTTCATAAAATTCCTCAAAAGTGGAATTTGCGATGATGCACGGCTTTACTGTGACAGCTTAAAGATACAGTGTGGAAAGCCGGGAAAGTTTGCTAGTGGTTCAGTCCCCGCTGTCTCTGGCTCTCCTATTATACTTGATGTGTCTGCTTGTGCTGTCTCCTTGTGCTTCCCCCTGAGATCTGAGCCGATAAAGATGGAGATGGAAACGACGGATCCCTTTACTCAACATGCATGGGTGTGCACAGAAACGAATATACCCTATATATAATAATATAGGCAGTAACACACAGATTTAAGACACACAGGTTTAAGACAAACACTCTTCAACTAACAGACACATTTAAAAATTCACATTCGGGCTCATGCATACTTTTGTCCCGGTATTGAATTGTAAAGGCAGAGGAGGGGGGACAGTTCAGTACATGTGAGCATGATTGGGCTGATGAGGTTTGTGAACTTACATGCATGAGTAAGACTATAGTACACGGCCTCAATACCCTACAGGCCTAGCGATGGGTAGTAACACACTGACACAGTTATCAGACCGGACTAATTTTGTGTGTGTGTGTGTGTGTGTGTGTGTGTGTGCATGCAGGAGACCCTTGCATGTCTTAATGTATGTGTGCATTTGTGTAAAGGCCACGCTCAATAAACACACACGCACCATGTCTCCTTCACTGCCCTCTCACCTCTGCTCATATGTGAGATGTATCTGCAAGGACTGCGTGTGTCACATGAAACCCCCCCCCCAAATGTATGGGCTGTCTTAACTCCCGTACGTCTTCTCAAATGAATACCTCTGCTGCTGGAAAAATAAACCGTGGCATGTGTCAGAGTTTTCTGAGAGAGCTCCTGGCAGATGATCATCCTGCAACCATCTGACCCAGTTTTGCTTAAAATGCTAAGGGACGTTATACATTATAGACCCCAAAACACACACAAACATTCCGCTATCTCTGCACCGCTGCACAGACACGGTCACAAGCAAATTTTACACTCTATCAAATCTGCAACACATTTGTACTGTAGCACGCACAACGGTTTAAAAACAAAATTCAAACAGTCGGTCTGAGAGGCTAAATGTAATGAGTAAATTAGAGCTCTGCAGCATTCCACTCATGTGTAATCATGACTACATTTCATTAATCAGCTGCAGTGGAGCAGAGACAAATGCTGAAGCTAAATATGTCTGACTGTGTTAAGGTGTGTCTGGCTGAGCAGAGTATGAATAAGAATATGTACAAATTGATAAAAATAGAAGGCAAGGAAAGAAACACAGAGACAAAAGACAAAAGGGAGGGGAGGATTGGAATGAAGGCTAAGAACGAAAGAGGAAGCCACACAGGAGAAACAAAAGCATGAAAGAAAATGAATAAAGTGATGACAGAGAAAGCGAGAAAATGAAATTAATTGAGGGTGAGGAGAAACAGGAAGCCATAGAAGGTTCAATTTATGAGAACAATTAAAAGAATGAACAAACAAATGAATACAATGAACAATACAGAAAGGAAGTAAAAGAAAGGAGAGCAAAAAAGGGAATAGAAGAAATGACTGAGCGGATTAAAAGAAGGAATTAACAAACAAAGACGCAAAGGCCAAAGAAATGAAATGACATTGGGGGAATTTAAAGGGGTATCAGTAAATAAAATGGATGAAGGGATGTTGGAAGGAACAGATGAAAGAATGCAATATAAAAGGAGGGAGAAAAGTAGGAATCAAGAAATGATGACAGGGTAGGTGAGGGGAGTGTAATCCGTCACTCCACCGAGTCGGCCTGTGGATGGATCACTGGATTCGCCACAATACTCGCTGACCTGCATGACAGCTATTAACACTTTGGCCCATCTGTTGCCAACTTGATCCAGCAGTGAAGGGGGGGGAGTCAACGTGGCCGTATGGATGATAGAGAGAAAGGCCGACAGAGAAAGAGAATTAGAATACAGCTGTACCATAATGCATGCGTGTGTGTGTGTAAGTATGTGAGCCCGTGTGTGTGTGTGTGTGTGTGTGTGTGTGTGTGTGTGTGGGTGGGCAGACGTGAATATCAGTAGGTGTGTAGTTAATGATGTGGCATCATAATGAGGCCCAAGACATCCGTTCACACACATTTTCCATAGCAGGACCTTCATTATCCCCGTGTGGAGTTACAGTGGTAGTGGAAGTACTTTTGTGTGCATATTACAAACGAACAGACAGATTAAAAGAGCGGTATTGAGAGAGAAATAAAAAGGGATTCAGACAAAGACCAGGATTCAGACATAGACTGGGCCCTTTCATTATTCATGTCTGCTTTAGTGGCGGTATCCTGCTGTTATGGAGAGAAAGAGAAAAAAAAGAGAGGAAGAATAGCTAAATTTCACGCATTAGAATGAAAAAATAAAATAATAGAGAGAAACATTAACTTCCCATATAGACTCCAGTGCAACAGCTCATAACAAACCAGAAAATAAGAAAAGTGCTAAAATTCGACAACTCCCCCACACACACCCACACGCATGGTCCACGCACACAAAACAAGCCGCTGGAGCCCACAGAGGCATCCTTGACCTTTCAAAGCACACAGGGAGAGACAGAGGTGAACTTAGGTACACAGAGAAAGCCAAGAGTGGATTTAGGGCACTTTTCTGGCACAGTGCACTGAGGAGGGAAACTCTTTTTAACCCCCCCGCCCGCTCGGACTTGATCTGCCTTTCAGCGTCATCCCTCCCTCCATACTCCCACTCACCCTCTCTTATTCACTTCCTCATTCCCTTCCTCTGCAGCCGTCCCCTGCTGTGGATTTACATCCGCCAAATTCCACTCCAGTTATTTTCATGTTGGGTAATTTCTGATTCTTTCGATGTTTATTCATGACCGAGGTTCTGAGAGAGAGAGATGAGAAGCCAAGTGCTGAGCTGGCCCAGAGGGGCCTGGTAGGGCATCTGCATTAACACTACTGGAGCCCACGAGCACATGTTTGCACACACACACATACACACACACGCACACACTAACCCTAACCCAAAATAAAGAACAAGACCGTTTTGGATTTGTTGGTTTTGGCTCGTGAAACCATATTGTGTCATATTGAGATTCGGCGGCGAATCACTATGCTGTTTCTCTTTCGTCAAAGAGAGAATATATATATATATATATATATTTAAAGGTTTACTTTTTTTAGACGTCACTGCCAAACCATGTCTGACCCTCATCTGTCAGCAGTGTTTATCGTGATGTCATAACAGACACACATACACACACACACACACTACAATAAAGGCTGAGTTTCTTTTCCAAACCCACCCCCTCCTGCAAGTGTAGTCATATTTGTATGTTGCCCACTGGGTGATGTTGTTTATGCATGCGTGCATGAGTGTGGGGAGAGATTGGATGTTCAAATGGCCGATGGAGAAGGTGGGGTGGACGGTTTGAGGTGGGGGGGCTGGTGTTTGTCTCTCAGAGTGGGTTGACGTCTCTTCTATGCCTTTGGACTTTCCTTTACTGATCACCTTGTGTCCGTCTCTGTCAGCTGGTGTTTGGCGTGCTCCTTCTCTCCCTAAGATAAGCCGTGATCACACATGCCAGTTCAAGTGTTTTTAATAAGTCACCCTAACTACACCACAACCTGCTTCAGACGCCGCCGTCTTGTTTTCCCCAGAGGCATCGAGCGGATGTATGAGATTAAATCTCTGTGTTGACAGATCTTGCAATGCTATTTTCAGATCTGACATTCCAGCATGCATTGATTGGTTGATATTCAGGTGAAACCCATCTGAGCTGAAGTGTTGTAACAGTTCTAAGCAGCCTGGATGCCTGAAATAACTTTCCCTTTAAATCATATTGTGTCCATGTTTTAATGTAGACTCGTAAATGGGTTTTCACCTGCAAACCATCGTTTCTTATTCATAGGGCGCCTCTAAAAACAAATCTTGAAAGGCGCTCAAAAAACATATCTCCTTGAAGAGCCGCGGACACTGAGAGATGGGTCTCCACTTTTTACATCCTGTTGCAACAGCGTTTGTTATTCTGCATGATTTGTTTTGTTGTCAGAAGATCTGATGACACAAATCGGACAAAACCCGCTGACCTGAGCCCAACAAAGAGGATTAGCTCAGTTGTTTGATGTGAACTTCTATAAACGACACTTAAAAATGTTATTTCATTCAAACACTGTATACTTAGCAAGACATTTTAAATGTCAGATACATTCTGGTGGTCACAGGCTTTATGTAATCATTAACTTAGAGGACCATGTACCTGAGTAATATGTGCATTTTTAATATATGCAGAGACAAACCGTCATCATCAACCATATGAAACAAATTATTACGGAAGTCGTATTCAACCATCCTTCTATAGATAATATATATAATATAAAAGTCCTGTTTTAAAAATGTGACTATATCTGCCATCTCCAACGAATTAGCAGAAATAGAAACTTGAATGGACGAGGGAACACGTCTAGAGCAACACCACCACCTGCTGGATGCTGAGTGCAGGCGCAGCACCACCACCTGCTGGATGCTGAGTGCAGGCGCAGCACCACCACCTGCTGGATGCTGAGTGCAGGCGCAGCACCACCACCTGCTGGATGCTGAGTGCAGGTGCATCATATTTTGGCAGGATGCAGCTGTGACAGAATAATTAGGTCAGTAGGAGGCTCCAGATGAGTTTAAATGTGTTTTTTTATCACGCCCATTCATTTAGTGTATTTCTGACTCCATTAAAATAAAAAGTCAAATCACGTCACCGAACCAACGCTGCGGGCTGTCAAGCCATTCGACCTCAGAGCCAGAGGTTATTTATGTAACAGAACGAAAGAAGAAGAAAAACACCTCGGTATTGCGCACGTTGAGCCTCTCCACCGCTAGATGGAGAAGTGGAGAATGGTCCTTTCTCCTCCGACGGGAGGCCTGGATTTGATCCCAATTTCAAGGCTGCTCGTGCACTTCTCCTTCGCAAGCCGCAAGCAGACGGCCCGGTTGCTTGTACGTCATATGATAAGACTGGACGAGAGCCAGCACGGGCCCCCCGGTTGGAGAGGAGGACCTATCTCATCCAACGCGCGCGCAGCCAGGGCCCCCTTTATCTCCGCCAGGCAGAGAGGCGTATCGCTTCCCCTTCTCCCCCTTAACATACCTCTCACTCTCTCTCTCTCTCTCTCTCTCTCTCTCTCTCCCCCTCTCTCTCCCTCTCTCATCCGTGCACTAATAACTACACCACAACCTGCTACAGACGACGCCCCTGAGGTTTCCACTGAGGGCGCAGCCAAGTCCGCCGTGCGTCGAGAGAGAAGCCGCACGGGTTTTCTTCTTATTATCGGGCTGCGCGCTCACGCTGCCCACGGCATCACCTCGGCAGTAACATAAGGGGAGCCAGCCAGAAGACGAAGAGGAGGAGGAAGAGGAGGAGAAGGAGGAGAGGAAGGGAAAGAGGTGTTAGCGTACTCCGAATTGACGCTCAGAAATAAACAGCCTGTTTTGGAAGACGTCCGTGGCGGGAAACGAAAGGGATCTGCAACTGAGTAAGTCGTCATTTACAGCGTGTGTGTGTTTTTTTACTGTAATTGACCTGTTTTTTTTTTTTGCGGTTGCTCGTGCAGCGGTGCAAGATGTGAGCTTCCAGCCCGGCAGCATCCTATTAACTCCGGCTGGAGGCATGGCAGAGCGGGGCAGAGGGATGGAGACATGGGTGGGGTGGAGGCTGGGGTACGGGGTGTGTTGAGGTGTAATACGAGGTGTAAAACATATGAGGCGACAAACTATTGTCACCACGGGAAGCGCAGCGTGCCTTCGGGGGACTCGGCTGCACTCGGTGAGGGTGACGGGCTCACAGCCGAGTCGGACGGAGGAAAAGCTGCGTGATCTTGTCAGAAAGCCGCGCTCGATGCCCACGGGGCCGCTTGACTGTACGGCGCTCGGCACGGTGCAGCCAGGCCGACAGGTGTAAAAAGGGGGGGAGGAGGGGGTGGGGGGCATGTTTACGCGAATGCTTTTGATAGCGCGTCGTGTCATATGGATCTGTTCGGACGGGAGCGGAGGTTCTGCTTTGGCCTCGACGGATGGAATTCCAGCGGCGCCAGCTGCGCACCGCCGTCACCGCCTGGGTGAGAGGGATGCTGAATGGCGCGCGGGTTTAGGAGGAGGGGAGAGTAACAGGGCATTCTATGGTGTGTGTGTGTGTGTGTGTGTGTGTGTGTTGTGATGCGAGCATTCTGCTCCAACATGGCGCTCATGAGCTGAAAAACACGATTGCATATCGTCCTGTGAGGAATTTGCACCGTGCAGGAGGACGAGCATCACTAAACAGCCTGAGACTTTCTGCCTGAAAATTAATCTCAGCTTAGGTTGCCACTGTTGATAGAGTCTTGCTCCTCTGTCCTCCCAGAGTATCACATCACCGTGCGTGTGTGTGTGTGTGTGTGTGTGTGTGTGTCCTTCTGTTTCTATTCCAGTCTCTGAATAGAACAATATCCTTGGGACAGACTGGTAATTTTTTTTTCTAATAGTGTTTGATCACAGCAGGTGACACGGGACATACAGTGTGCTTTTTATTGTTCGGTCTTGCATCCATTGTTTCTCCGCTGGGTTTCTGGCCTGCTGACAGACGCTGCTGTCGTGGACAACGTCTTTGTTGACAAGACCACCAAGTTCAAGACGATAGAGTCGGCAAATTGCGTTTCTGAGCGAGAGAGACTTCGGATTAGAGGACGTGGAGTCTTCGTTTTGGTCATCGATGTAGCTCAGCGAGCCCTGTTTGATTGACTCCTCTAGTCGTGAATTAAAGAAAGACATGTCATCCGTTTGTCAGGTCGGTCCAGGTTTGAATCTGAGGTTCATTTGATGTCAAAAAAGACAAACTGCAAGGGATGAAACGTGTTCACAGATCTCTGTTGTCCTTTTCATTACTATGTTACAGCTGTACTTCCTTGTTTTAAATATGGCTGAAAAATTCCTGACTGAGACCGTAATTCATCAAAATCAAGAGTCATTAAACAAAGTACTTTAACGCCACCTTTTAAATGGCTCTTTGAAATCACGGTTTCCTGTGCACGTTTGATTATATGACCCGGCATTATATTTGTTTTCTGAAAGGAGGGATTACGATGTGAGCGCCACGTCTCCGCATACTGTTTGCTGTTCGTTTTGTCTCATTTTATTGTGTGTGCGAGACATGTTAAGTCCACCGTAGGCCTCTGCCTGTGTGTGTGTGTGTGTGTCTATATCCGGTCGGCCGCTCTGTGTTGTGTCAGCGACTGGTAGTAGAGCTGACAGCACTTGTCTTGTCCACCCGATCATCATGCGACATCATGACTCTGGACAGCCACATTTCTGTGTGTTTTCTTATGTGTGTTGGTTGAATATGCAGCTTTGTGTGTGGATTTTAGTCAAAAAAAGGATCCGGTTTCACCATTTCAGAAAATTTCAGGAAAATGGGCCGGTAAATTGAAGGTGCTCCATCCTTATCTTGCGCTGTCAATGAAAAATGAGCTGAAATGTAAACAAGTGACCCTCTTTCCAAGCCGCCAACTACAGTCAAATTGCCCAAGTCCTCAGTGAGCTGAAGTAGGAACTGTAATGTTGTGAGTGAAAGTGTGTTGTTGTTAAAAAGAGCACAAACTCCCTCGATAACTAACAGGTTATCAGGTGACATAACAGTTGTGTAGCCGATATCAATGCAACAATGCTAGCGCTCACCTACATTACAGTCAATCACACGTGTCGCCCACGTGTACCATCGAGTGAAACATATTGCTGCATTTTGTGTACAGGTGCATGAATTTTCTGCTTTTCATATCGTTTGGGCTGACTTGTTTTTGTCGACGATTTTACACAAAGACAAAAAATTAAGCTTAGGCGACAAAAAACAACTGAGGTGTCATTCAGAATAGTTTGGAGGTTTTGCCGCTTTGGTTTGGTCTCCCCAGTAAAACCACAGTCACCGATGGGTCGGATAAAGCGTCGCAAGAGCAGCAGACTCCGCTTGATGTATAAAAATGAACGTAAATGCCAGGGGAGGTTAAAGGTAACTTTTCTATACGAAATATGATATATTTTTCCTCAAGATACGACCATTAATGCGTGACTGCAATAGTGGCCGAGCTGGTTGGTTCAACGCCATTAGCAGAAGATGGGGAACCTATCAAGGGGTCACATCCTGCCCCCGGGCGAGTGCCCCCCCCCCCCCCCCCCGGAGTGATTAATGATAGTAATCATCCTCAATTACTTTACTGTCATTAAGAATCACTTGCTGCAGTGGTTATGAAAACACATCAGCGCGGCAGTGGAGGAAGAGGTATGTCGTGCATTGTAGAAGCCCTCACCGTTACAGATGCTAGTGGAGGGTAAAAGAGGAAGTGGGAGCGAAAAGCCGCTCAGCCAGCGCACAGATAAGGAGGAACAAGGAGGAGAAATAAGGGGCGACATGTGAGATCTGATCATGCCATCCGCCTGCGTTGTTTTTTTTTCTCTTTCTATTATCCCAGCTCCTCTATTTTTCCGGGAAAGCACTTTTTTCCAGACTGTCTCTCATTACAAACGCCCCCCCTCCCCCCCCCTCCCCTCCTCGGCTGCTTCGTCATGACAGATAAGGCTCTCTCTTCCCAGCAGATGGTCTTTCTTCTGATAAACTGTCATTTTTAGCGACTAAGTCATTTTAATCCCAGAGGGAAATGTGCTCAGTGTCTGTTTTATGCACCTCTCCCAAAACACACGCACGCCCGTGTGCTCATATGACGGTCATCAGGGACGAGGCAAAGATTCTATCAAGAGCACTATTGATAAGAAATAGTCATCTTCCCGCACTGTGGATAACCTGAAACTAACACCACACACACATTTAAGCGGAAGGAGGATAATGAATAGGAGGCATTGTCGCCTTAATAAATGAAGCATAGTCGGGTGTTTGTATGATCCCAGAAGAGATTAGACAGGGGAATATCGGAACAAACGTACTTAGTATTAACAATTCCTGAGCCTCTTGATGGTCTAAGTGGGGAGCGGGATCCTGCCACAGGGGAAGGCCCGTGGTCGGCCTAATGGTTTCGGCGTTAGCATTCAGAGGCTGCTCCAGTAATGCAGGTCGGAAGGCTTCTCCTACCCTCCGGATATATAGAGCCTGCTGATGGACCGGAGCACACAGCAGCACACTGTAAACACACGAGCAGTGCTGTCAGCAGGTGTGTTGTTGATGCCAATCGATACTTACCAACAACCTACTCGGGGCAATCTGCTTCGACTCTCTTAGCTTCTTGGAATATGTTTACGCCTGGGGTATTTTTATTTTCTCAATGCAATGTCATAAATAATGTGGTTTATGTTCATCAAAGTGGTTTGGAACTTCATTTTCGTCAGTTGAGTAATTGATTAACAACTAATTGCTGCAGCCTATTTTGCTCATGGACCTTTACCTTTTTGTTGCCTTCCCGTAGCAGCTTTGTGATGTTACTACACACTACCAAGTCTTTAACCTGGTTATCACCTCCCATTTGAGGTTGACCTCTCATTTTGTTGTCCAATCGTCTGCGTCTGTTGCCTTTTGTTCTAAAGCAGCTTGCCAATCGGAACATGTTGTTTGCAGGATGGCGATCTCGAGTGTATTGGTTGTTCAAATTTGAATTTTCTAAGTTGTGAACCAAAGCCTAGATTGTCAAACCTCCACCAGGGACCTATAAGTCACAGATAACAGTAGACTTGCAGTCCCTGGGTGTATAAAAATGAACAAACAAACACAACGACTGAATAGATTTGAAGTGTCAAGGTTTCTTGTTGTGGAAGTCATGAAGGTTCAGTGCCGTCAAGTGATGAAATGAGGAAAAATCCAAAGAGAAGAGACAGGATTTACAGAGAGGCAGAAGGAGACAGGGGTTTCTGGAAGGCACGCACAAACTGGGACGGACATTTTAAGTCAGGTTAGAAATTGAACCACTTCATTGGCTCCTCACAGATTTCGATAAACCAAATCCATTCTGTAGTCGTGCACAGTCTCAGTGTCTAATCAGTAGTGTAACCTGGGGAAGCCGAAGGCTGAGTACAAACCGTATCTTACTGTAGGTGTATTATGCATAGTCTGCGTTTCTGGAGCTTGACTGCTGATAAAAACTACAATAAAGAAGCGACTGTCACTTCTGACTCCCTCATGCCTCCCCACATGTCTCAGTCTGTGCGTTCCTCCCCTTTGGGCTTCTTAAATATGGATGTTTCACACCATGTCTCTACTCCGTACTGACAGAGCTTTATTTATGCTTGACCTCTGGAAGGAGCTTGCCCCTTTGACCTCTGGAACACTAACAAGTGACCTCAGCGGACTTCCTCATATTCTTATTGGCAGTGCCCTGTTAACGTTTGTGTTGCGCCTCGGATAGAAGGATGCAGAGCTGCATGTGTGACGTGAAGAAGTAGTGTTCTGCGTGGTGACCCGGGACGATCCCGTGTGGGCCACGCGCGCGTGTGTGTGTGTGTGTGTGTGTGTGTCTGTTTGTGTGTCTGTGTGTCAGCGGCCGGGCCAGAAAGGCAGGGAGGAGCATTGTTGTCCCTGTGCTCTTCTGGCCCGAAGGAAGGAAGCTGTGGAAATGGGGAGCAGAGAGGAGAAAGAAGTGCCACTCCAACTCAGTGAGTGCAAAGGAGATTTTAAATGAGTTTCCTCTTTCAGATTCTCTGAAGAGTTTTCTAAAACAGGGTCTGGATCATTTAACTCAAGAGCCATTTTCGCAGTCATTATTCTTTCTGGAGAGGAAACATTTTTCTGTGTGTGACTTAACTGTAGTGGAAGTGACCACTGGATTGTTTTTTGCATTAGTATCACTTGCCCGTGTTGTTTTTGTGTGTCTCCTCATCTTATCAGTTCGAATTTTGAATAATAGTACGACATTAGCAATTACATTTGTTCTTGGCTACAGGTTTTTGTTGAGTTTGGGTGGTAGAGTTTCATAAAGGCTCCGCGGCATCAGTTAAAAGCTTGTCATTATGAATTAACACCTGGGTGAACATGTTTCTCTTTTATTCACCAATAAATATGTTGTTAGATGCTGCATGCCAGTATTGTATAACTGGAACTAATAACGGTTGTAATGTGTTGATATGAACAGTGCGAAGTCATTCCTTCCTCTCCGTTTGGCAACTTGTCCTCAAAGCAAACCGGTCAGTTATTGTGGATTTTCAGCGGTACGTTTCTAAGGCGGCTGGATTTGTGTTTGGCAGATTGATTTAAAACAAACTACAGTGCTCAGGTTTTTGGAATGAAAGGACTGCGTGTTAACAGCAACAACGTGGCTCATTGATGTGTTTAAAATAGTTTGTGGACAACAAGGATGTTCTGTGGAATAGAAAAACAAGTTATTATGCCTAAAAGTCGATGTTGGTTACTTGATCATTTTTATTTTTGGTCCCGTGAGATTTGTTGACGAAACTAAAACATAGAACATCACAAGACTCGTCCTTTTAAAACTCTCCTCGGGACAAGTAATATATTCTTGTTTGTTTATCGTGTCGTTTTCCATGTGGGTGCAGCGTTTTAGGTGTAGGGTCAGTTCACGCTGTGCATTGTTTACTATCCGCTGAAGCCCCGGATGCAAGAAATCCATCTCTCTAAAAATCCGCTCACCTGAGTACGTGTGAGTGGGAGACGCCGGATCAGAATCACTCCAATCCCAGGTTGTCGTGGTGTTTGTTTAAGGTAATCCTAGATTGGTGTCGATGATAGCTGATAATGTGCCACTCCCGCCGACACGTCGACTCACATGGAAAGATGATATGTGCCGCCAGGGACAGAAAGTGTGACTGATATCATGTACAGATATCAGGTACTTGGCTGACTGTCTATTGTGAATAATGAAAACAGGGTTTCTCTGCTGACTTCTCACAACACATTAGTGCAATTGAACGTAACTTGCTTAGTTGAAAAACAAGCTTTTAATGTTTTAGTTGTAGCAAGGATCATCTTGTAAAACATGGGAGGAATTCCATGTGTTTGCAGCTCGGAGAGGTGAGAGTTTTAAATGCATGTTGTGCCTCAGGCCAGGCTGATACCCCCCAAACAAAGACGCTCAGCGGGGTTGTCATTTATCGAGCGCCTTCGACTTTGAGCTCTAATCACTTTTAGGGCATTTCAGTCCAGATAGAGAATATGTAAAGTGACGGCTGGTGCCAGAGGAGCTTGATGCTATTAGAAGAGGATGCTGGTGCTCGATGCAGGCGGATAATGTGTTCCTGGAAATGCAACTGCAGCAGAGCACTCAGCGGGGAATAGGGATGGTCATTAGTCCGTTCTCCGGACTTCTTCTGCCCCGCGCCGGCCTTCACATATTGACATCTTCCCTGTTTTAGTTCCCTCGTTGTTAGTATGTACACTGGCGGCTAAGAAGGCGTCCTCCCTCAGACCTGTGGATCTATTAGATGTATCCGTCTCAATGTGTTTTCTGCCTGTCCGTGAGCGACGGCCGGCCTCCCGAGATGTCTTCCGCTCATAAATGTGATTACTCGTCTACGCTGCAAAGAGGCTCGTCTTTGCTTCAGCTCTCCGTTCGCCTTGGTTGTCCATAATTTATGAGGAAGGCAGCGAAACTTAAATTGCAATACATCTTTATGAACTCGTTACAGCTGCAGCCCAGAGGTTAGAGGAGCAGTTGAATTTTAGGTTTGAGTGGTGGGACAAGCTGTTCTTAACATTGTTGTGAACTGGGTAGTTTTGATCATAACTCACAGCAGATGTTCCATTTGTTCAGGGTTGATTGTTTCGAGATGTTTTGGCACTTGTATTAAATCTCTGCAGCAGTTTTGTCACGATAACTAATTTTCTGGGCAAATAATTGTCACTTTTGACTTGACAAAGATAACAACATGTTAAACTTCATCAATCAAGACTATTGTTTTTTCACTATTGTTTTTAGGCATATATCTCATTGAGTTGCTTTGTATCTTGCTTAGTCACAAGACTAAATGTAACATACCGGTAGGTAATAAGGGTATTTTTATTCTACACGTTAGTAGTCTTGAAAGTAAAAAACATTTCAAACAATTCCAATTTAATTATCCAATTAGCTCCTAGGGGCTGATTGGCTTTGAAACAGAATTATGTTTAGTTACACTGACGGATTTGTAGCTGTATATATACTAGTTAGTTCAGTTGACGTTTATATTTTTTTCTGTGATCTGATAGCTTTGTCATATATATGTATTCCTCGTTCATACAAAATAAATGAAGTTTTAGAAATTTTTCGATTGACATGGTAAAGAGGTAAATAGAGAAAAAGTTCCCTGTGACGTTTATTTTGTGTACAATGTACGTTTCTCTCATGTCGGAGCGCTTGTGCAAACTCACCAATAAACCCTTGTTTACCCTGCATTTTTCACAACTGATGTTTCCAAAAAGACGTCATTAAAATAAAGACGTCATGGCTCCACCGTGGGCGTGTTCTACCCCGCCTCAGCTGATGCTCACAGGGACCTCTATCAGGTCAGGATGGCCAGCCTGCGGCTGCAGGCCTCCTTCGTGCTGCTGATGAACTGATCCAGATGCTCAGTCAGCTAACTGCGCTTCTTCCACCTCAACCCGAGTGCTCGGAAAAGAAGGAGAATAAAGGACGGAATAAGTTATGAAGTACTGTCAACAAACAGCACCAACAGAACCTGCACATATTTGGAGCTTTAACGATTGATTTGCAGTGCAGGCTTCCCTTATTAAGCCATTAAGCCTCATTTTACTCAGTGCACCTCCAGATGGTTTTCTATACAGTACTGAGTGTGTGAGTGTGTGTGTGTGTGTGTCATAGGGGCTTGTGATCAGATGATTGCGGTTTCTCCATGTGACGCTGTTGCGGTGCGGTGGGGGAGCAGAGATCAGTGGGGTGTTCGAATGGGTGACCTGGAAGTGTGTACGGGAGGTCTTTCATGTCCCAGTGTCCTCTCATAATCAACCCCTGAGGTATTAATGAGTCGTACAGCTTCTCTGATTGGACAGTGTACTCACAAGCGTGACCAAAAATGCAGGCGTCATTATGTTTCAAGAGGAGCCGGTGTTGTTGCTTTGCATGCTTTTGTGAGTGCAGCAGTGTGAATGACCTTTGACTGCAAGGGAAATAGTTGTCTCTATTGATGTTCACAGCCCGTTTTTTTGTTATTATTAATTTGTTGCAAGCAAATTCACAGTAACAGCGGGTGTCCTGGCCACTCATCGGGAGAAGTGACACGATCAAACGCTCTTACCACATTTTGCTGGCCCTGCAGAGGCTCTTTTGGGGAGGTATGCAGAGCACTTGTGTCATAGTTCTTTTGTAAGAGTTTGCACACTGCCACATGTTGCAGCCACATTGTGTCCCTCATCCACCACCTCCGATCTGTAGAAGACATAAGTTTGGCTACAGAGAGAAAATACTTTGTCCCCGTGTCAGCCGAGCAAGCAGTCCTTCTACTCCCCTTTCTGCTGTGCTTGCGTCCGTCCTCCATCCCGGAGCTTTGGTCTGGAACCCATTAGAGCAGGAATCTCCAGCAGCGCCCTGCTAGCACATTAGCATGCCTTCCCTGACTCTCCCCAACAGGAAAAGACACTCTGATTGAGTGCAAGCAGACAGATATTTGACCTCCGTCACCGGGAAGTCTTTGGAAGGTAAATGGCTGGTGACAGAGGAAGGTTGTTTGTCGCTGTGTGTCATGTCTGATGTTGCTGGTCACGTGCGGTTTGATCAATCTCTCTCTTCTTCCTTCAGGATGGCTGAGGTGTCCCAAGAGGAGAGACTCCAGGCCATCGCTGTAAGTCCTGTGTGTCCAGCTCTTCCTTTCTCTCTTGTAAACACACGCATACAGAGTGCACATCAGGGCACACTGATGGATGTGGAAGCAGCAAATCATCGCTGCCTGTCGGGATCAGACCGCCCATCTTAACGACTCAACCTTTTAGATCCAATATCCTTCAACCATTAGAAGAGACAGAAAGCTAATGCAGCGGCTCTCAGCATCCCTCTTCACTCTGTCTTGCTCTTTTGGGTTTTCATCGCTTGAGTTTTCTGTTTTATCCTCTCTCTCTCTTTCTCTCTCTCTCTCATCGAGATTTACATTTTCACAAAGCGCTTTAGAATATCATTCTACAGCGGTTTAATTCTTAATTTTCTGAAATCTCAAAACTTTGAAATATCTATCAATCTATCTATCGTTAAATCGTCATCACTGCCATAAAGAAAAACCCACGATATGTTTTGGCATCGATCCATCAGTTTTAATAGTTAATAAGCAAACAGTGTGGTGTTCTTTAACAACAAATAGGCTAATGGTGGTACATGTGTGTGTGTGTGTGTGTGTGTGTGTGTGTGTGTGTGTGTGTGTTGCAACAGGAGAAAAGGAAGAGGCAGACAGAGATTGAAAACAAGAGGAGACAGCTGGATGATGACCGGCGGCAACTCCAGCATCTCAAGGTACACGCATGCATTATGCACGTGCCCAACTGGGCACCGTGCCGATTATTTTAACACAGGTTTTGATTAGACATGGGGCAGTGGTATTTGCATCGTGCAGACAGGTGAACTCCGGTGATGACGCGATGTGGGGAGGAGGTTTTCAGGTTTTCAGGCAGGAGCGACGGGAATCCAAGGTGAATGAACTAGAGACGGAGATAAGAGCAATAGGTCAGTACACCAAACAACTACAAAGAGCGAACAGCGATCGATTCGCTGTTGAGGCTGATACGTGAGCACGGATGTGGCTGCCGATCCGGCAGGGACTGGATGTCAGGCCTCTGCTGTGGTGATGATGATCAGGACCGGGTGTGTTGATTGGGCACAGGTGGGAGCAGGCACTGGTGATCCCGGTTCTCCCGCCTTGTCGTCGTTGCTCGGCAACCGGAACAAACCGACAGAGACAAACAGGAAACCCTACTCAGGGAGCTGGGGCCGTGACAGGTTTGCTTAGTACTTAATAAGTTAGAGCACAGTCAGTGGAGTTGTGATTCTCTTCTTTATTCCTTTGTGCTTTTTGGGATAGGCAGTTCTCGCAGGGAAAATGGTAAATCTAAGACCAAAGTGTTGCACCATATTGACCTTTGACCCGCCCAGTGTGCACAGAGGACACAATCACAGACTGTCCAGATCTTTGCACCACAAAGGAGTGAGGTGGAAATATTCCAAGAATCCATTCTAGGGTGGCTGAATCAAACGTGAACATTGTATAAAACACTTTCTATATTCAGCAATTTCTGTTTGGATTAGCTACAAATGCTCTAGGGGTTTTTATACGAACTGCCAGTGTAACACTCTCTTGTTAATGAGTGTGCCATAATGTCATAAATAATTAATTATACCAATATTTTAATCTTCATAATATCTGTAATTGTATTCCATCCATGAGTGGAAACCCTACCAGCCTTACAACCAGTACAAGTCAATCAAAGCCCATGGCGGTGTAATAAGGGTTTAAATCAGTTCAACGAGCACAAATAATAGGTTGCGCAACCGCAAATGGCCTTGAGAGGAGTAATTCATGAGAGGGCACAAAAGCTTCTCTAAAAGAATCTACCATGTTTTGTGCAAACTGTATTTGCACCTATTTATGATGAAACCCTCACTCGGACCTGAAAACAAAGCTGACAGAAACACTGACTACGTGTGGTAGACCCCCAAATCATAAAATGAAACCCAGCAACTCCTTTCAAATCAGTCGCACATAGTGAGATACTCCCCAACTGCTGCTGTGACGGAATGTTCCGAATGGGCCGCAGATAACCGGCAGCTCCTCCACAGGCTGTTTATACACACACACGCTGCCTGAAAAACACACTCAAATCTTCGTGCATGTGGACAAACACTCATTGTATCAGCGCCAGGGCTTCTGTCAGCGTATGTGTCGGCATTATCAAAGCTATTTCAGCCCCGGACAATTGGGCAGGTCACCGATAGGAGCAAAGGTTGTGGCGTGCGCTGCCTGCGTTTGTGGCAAAAGTGTCGGCGGTCTGTGCCATGGCCCTTGCGTGCTCCCAATTTTTCTATTTTCAGAACAAACCTTTGTGAATGTGTGTGTGTGGTGGGGGGGGGGGGGG